AAAATAGTTTATATTGTGGAAGAGTTCAAATTTACTCTTCTTTTGAGTATAGATTCCATAATTATTTATTCTTTACTATCTTTTTAATCTATTCTTATATATTAATGTAGCTATGATGCAGTTACTAACAGTAACTCCATTAATATCTCATACCAGTTTGTATGAAAATTTTCTTAATTGCACTAGAAATATCTTTTTATGGTTTGTAATGGATTTGAGTCCAAAAAGATCTACATATTGTATTGAATAGTTTTTAAAATGTCTTCTGATTTTTAAAAAGTTCCTTTTTGTTTTTTTTCTTTTTTTAAAAAAGATTTATTTTATTTGAAAGACAGAGTTACAGAGAGAGGTAGAGACACACAGAGAGAGGTTTTTTGGCCGCTGGTTCATTCCCCAAATGGCTGCAATAGCTGGAGCTGAACCAATCTGAAGCCAGGAGCCAGGAGCTTCTTCTGGGTCTCCTATGTGGGTGCAGGGGCCTACTTGGGCCATCCGCTGCTGCTTTCCCAGATGCATTAGCAGGGACCTGTATCGGAAGTGAAGCATCTGGGACTTAGGAGCTGGATCAAAAGTAAAGCAGCCTGGACTTAAACTGGCACCCATATAGAATGCTGGAGCTGCAGGCCAGGGCTTTAACCCACTGCACCACAGCACTGTCCGCCTGTTTTTTTCTTTAAATATCATTGAAGACATATCACTTGTCTTGAAGAATTTCCTGTATTCTGGATTTGTTTGAATGCTTCCCTTTGTTATCATGTAAATGTTGATGATGGGATCCTCTATGGATTAGTTTCTTTATCTTTTTAGATCTAGACTCTATTAGTCCTTGATGCCTTCCTTCCTTTCATTCATTAGGAGATACCCCAGGCTTTTTATTTTTTATTTTATTTATTTATTTTTTTGATAGGCAGAGTTAGACAGTGAGAGAGAGACAGAGAAAGGTCTTCCTTCCATTGGTTCACCCCTCAAATGGCTGCTGTGCTGTGCTGATCCGCAGCCAGGAGCCAGGTGCTTCCTCCTAGTCTCCCATGTGGGTTCAGGGCCCAAGCACTTAGGCCATCCTCCACTGCCTTTCCGGGCCACAGCAAAGAACTGGACTGGAAGAGGAGCAACCGGGACAAAACTGGCGCACCAACCGGGACTAGAACCCCGGGTGCCGGTGCTGCAGGCGGAGGATTAGCCTAGTGAGCTGTGGCACCGGCCTAGGCGTTTAGTTTTTTTTTTTTTTTTTTAAACTTTAGTCCTGGAACTAGCTATATCTGTAAGGTGCTCCATGAATCAGGTTTAAAAATTCCAATTCTCATTCACTTTTTTCCACACAAATGTCATTCACACTGATGATGATGATTCATTAGTAGGCAGTGCTATCAATTACACAATTGTTTTTTGCAAAATAATGTAGAATACAAATATCAGAATATCCTAAGATGTTTGAATAAACATTGTTTTGCTCAAGTTACTGTATGAATATGTTTTCATGTACTATGTTACACTATAAGATATATTTTTTATTGTGGGTTGTAGTCAAATTTGACTCTGTCGCTAGACCTTTCAAATAAATAAATCAGTATTTAAATGGTGGTGAGCAGAGCTAAAATAAAAATACTGATAGCACTAAATGCTGCCAAGGATGTGGAACACTAGTGCTGCTCTAGTGAAAGTACAAATCTAGTGAAAGTACAAATTAGTCTGGCCACTTTGGAAAACTATTTGTCACTATATTCTCTCTCTTTTTTAAAGGTTTATTGTATTTATTTGAAAGGCAGAGTTACAGAGAGAAGGAGAGATAGAGAAAGATCTTCCATCTGTTGGTTTACTCCCGAAGTGGCCACAACGGCTAGGGCAGAGCCAGGCTGAGGCCAGGAGACTGGAGCTTCCTAAGGAGCCCAGGAACCCACTCGTATGAGCCATTTTCTCATGCTTTCCCAGGCATATTAACAAGGAGCTAGATTGAAAGTAGAGCAGCTGGGACAGACACTGGCACCCACTTGGGATGCAGGCAACGATTTTAACTGCTATGCCACTATGCTACAATGCTGGCTGTTCCCGTCACTATCTTCTTAAGCTGAATACATGCATGTCCTGGTGTCTAGCAGTTTCATTCCTAGGTGTATACTCAACAAAAATGTGAACAACAACCGGCGCCGCGGCTCACTAGGCTAATCCTCCAGCATGCGGCACCGGCACACCAGGTTCTAGTCCCAGTCGGGGCGCTGGATTCTGTCCCGGTTGCCCCTCTTCCAGGCCAGCTCTCTGCTGTGGCCCGGGAGTGCAGTGGAGGATGGCCCAAGTGCTTGGGCCCTGCACCCCATGGGAGACCAGGATAAGCACCTGGCTCCTGCCATCGGATCAGTGCGGTGTGCCGGCCGCGGCGGCCATTGGAGGGTGAACCAACGGTAAAGGAAGACCTTTCTCTCTGTGTCTCTCTCTCTCACTGTCCACTCTGCCTGTAAAAACAACAACACACCACAACACAATTCCACATATATATAGTATACCATTATCCACATAGCCAATATGGAATACTCAGATAGCTGTCAGCAGGATTAATACATATTGGTATATTCACAAATGGAATACCACACACTTATTGGAGTGAGTGATCTTGATGCCATACCGTGAATGAATCACAAACATAATATTAAGCAAAAGAAGCTGATGCTGTGGCGTAGTGTGTAAAGCTGCAACCTGCAGTGCTGACATCCCATGTACACACCGGTTTGAGTCTCGGCTGCTGTGCTTCTGATCCAGCTTCCTGCTAATATGCTGGTAAAGCAGCAGAAGATGGCTCAAGTACTGGGGCCCCTGGACCCATGTGGGAGAACGGGAAGAAGCTCCTGGCTTCTGGCTTCTGATTTGTCCATCTCTGTCTGTTGTGCTATTTGGGGAGTGAAACAGCAGATGGAAGATCTCTGTGTATGTGTTTAACTCTGCCTTTCAAATAAATAATTCTTTAAAAAAAATTCTAAAAGAAAAAAGCCAGATGGTATTTGATTTTATAAAGTACAAAAGTAAACAAAATAAATCTATGATGACGCTTTATAAAGTTTGTGGAAATGGATTTAAAAGATAAGTTATTTTCCGTTTTTTTGTAATATACATTTTCATGACATTTTTGGAGACCTCTTTTATGCATGGATTTCTACATAGTTTGTCATAATAAACAAATTATTTTTTCCATGAACTTTTTAAAGAAAGATTTATTTATTTGACAGAGAGTGAGGGAGAGACAGAGCAAGAGAATGATCTTCTGTTCTCTGGTTCGCTACCCAGATGGCTGCAGTGGCCAGGGCTGGGCCAGGCTGAAGCCGGGAGCCAGGAGCTTCATCCAGGTCTTCCACTTGGGTAGCAAGAGCACATGTACTTGGGCATCTTCCGCTGCTTTCCCAGGCCATTAGCAAGGAGCTGGTTTGAAAGTGGAGCAGCCAGGAAACAAACCCATGCCCATATGGGATGCTGTGTTGCTGGCGACAACTTTACCCTCTGCCACAAAGCCAGTTTCTTCCATGAACTTTCTGAAGAAAGTACCTTCTTATGTGTTAGCAGTCATGCTTTTTGTGGCTGTGAAGGGTGGTGGTGGTGGTGGTACCATGGTAGCTGCGAGGAAGCATTACATGTATTTCTGAAGTGTTGATCGTGTTCCATTTCTTTATCTGAGTGCTTGTTATTTTTGTGTATTCAGTTTGTGAAAATTCATTGAGCTATACACTTTGTATTTCCATATGGATATTGAAAGTTTCAAAAATTTATGTGGCTGGCTTTGTGATACAGCAGATAAAGCATTCCATATGGGTGCTGGTTCCTGTCCCAGCTGCTCCACTTCCGGTCAGCTCTCTGCTCATGGCCTGGGAAAGGCAGTGGAGGATGGCCCAAGTGTTGTTTGGGTCCTACCACCACATGGGAGACCTAGAAGAGGCCCCTGGCTCCTGGCTTTGGCCTGGCCTGGTGCTGACTGATGTGATTGTCTGGAAGTGAACCAGCCAATAACTCTGACTTTCAAAATAAATAAAGTTTTTAAAAAATTACAAATTTTTGTCTTGTTTTGAAATTTGATAGCAAATAAAATGTAATTCAGGAATAGATTTTTTTTTGACAGGCAGAGTGGACAGTGAGAGAGAGAGAGACAGAGAGAAAGGTCTTCCTTTACCGTTGGTTCACCCTCCATTGGCCACCGCGGCCAGCACACTGCACTGATCCGAAGCCAGTAGCCAGGTGCCTCTCCTGGTCTCCCATGCGGGTGCAGGGCCCAAGCACTTGGGCCATCCTCCACTGTACTCCCTGGCCACAGCAGAGAGCTGGCCTAGAAGAGGGGCAACCAGGACAGAATCCGGTACCCCGACCGGGACTAGAACCCGGTGTGCCGGCGCCGCAAGGCGGAGGATTAGCCTATTGAGCCGCGGCGCCGTCCAGGAATAGATTTTTTTAAAAATATTTATTTATTTGCCGAGATCCCATATTGGAGTACCAGTTCTCATCCCTCTTGTTCTGCTTCCGATCTAGCTCCCTGCCAATGTGTCTGGGAAAGCAGTTGAGGATGGCCCAAGTGTTTGGGGCCTTGTCACCCAAGTGGGAGTCCCAAATGAAGCTCTGGGATCCTGGCTACAACTTGGACCATCCCTGGCTGTTGTGGCCTTTTGGGGAGTGAACCAGTGTATGGAAGATCTCTGTCTCTGTCTCTCTCTTTCTCTGTTTATCTCTTCATTTTCCATCCCCAACTCCTGTCTGTGTCACTCTGGCTTTCAAATAAATCAATCATTGAAAAAAACACTTCTGTACAACTCAAAGTGCTGGCAGTTGGAAATATCATTATATTTATGAAAATAACAAGGAGCTCCTATTTTCTGAAGAGTTTCTTTGGGAAATGCACATTCAAATAAGGTGATGCTGGAAATATACTTATTGGAGTCATCCCTGAAATTAGTGTAGTGTTTTTGTTCCTGATACTCTGTTTTTAATGATGTTTTAAACAGGTCCTTTTGTTCCCCTGTTTCTTTTTATAGCACCTGACAGATACTTCCCATGGTGTAAGAAATAAGTGCCTACAGTTACTTGGTAACCTTGGCTCTTTGGAGAAAAATGTCATAAAAGATGCAGAAGGCCTTACTGCCAGAGATGTACAGAAGATTATAGGGGATTATTTCAGCGACCAAGATCCACGTGTCAGAACAGCAGCTATAAAAGCTATGGTAAATGAGATTATGGAAACGAGTTGGGCATAGTTTTCAGTGCTTTTTTCCGCTGTTTTTAAGTTCGTGGTTAGTGCTGCCTTGGATGCATTCTGAATTTCCCCAATATATACTTATGTACATCTTCGGGGAGGTATTGGTGGTAGCATTATAGGAGTCAAAGATAAACATTCCTGTATAATTGGAGTGCTGTTCCTTGGGCTTCTCTGGTAGCTTTCCTCTATATCTCTTTAAGTATGAAAGGTACAAACCTAGTACCTTTTATAGTAGAATCAAGTCACATCTCTCCTCCAAGTCCCCAATCCTAGCAGGGAGGGAAATGACTTCATATCCTATGGTAATAAGTACAGTTGTAGTTTCTTTGTTTCAGAAGTATACATGAAAGTTACCAGGAGGGGGTACTTTTTATTGAGAGGTATTGTTAACCATTTCTTCCTTAGGAAGGGGTACTTTTAGTGGGAGGTGTTGTTAACCATTTCTTCCTTAGCCTTCTTACTATTTATGTGTTTTTTTTAATATGCCCTTTGGGCAGCCCATGGGTTAACTTTATTAAATGCTTGAGTGCTTCTTCTGAAAAGTCTTTCACCAGGTATTCTTTTTTATGTAGCACTGGTTTTAGCTGAAGGGAATCATGTAAGTCTGATATAATGGGAAAATCTGTGAGATTGTAGGGGGGCATTGGAAATACTGATGGGTTTCTCCAAGTACTCAAACTATATCTTTATTATCTAGTTGCAGCTTCATGAAAGAGGACTGAAGTTACATCAAACAATTTATAATCAGGTATCTTAAAAATTATTATCTGGAAGAGAATGCTGTGCTCCAGGCTTTTGGGTTCGGTGTGGTCCAGCCCTGGGGAGGGTGGCTGGTTCTCAGAATTTGAAAAGATAAGGGCTTTAGCTGGCTAACAGTGGATACTTTAATTGGGATGACTGTGAAGTCATACCCCAAACATACAGAGTTTTTGGACTGTGTACTTGAATAGTACTATCCCAAATATACTTTTCAGGAAGAATTTTTAGAGTAGGTAATAGAGTACTACTCCATGTGAAAAGGGTCTTTATGGGGATTTGGGTAACTCAATGTGATTGCCAGAGTACATAAAGAATATTGTAGTGTTGACAGTAATAAAAATGTCAGTGTTGCTTGGGCCATACCTGGCGTCTGTTTGGGGCACTACACTTGATGAACTTGAGTGTTTCTGGAGGAGGATGACCAAACCACGGGATAATAAGAAAAGATGTCACATGAATGTAGAAATGGTAAAGAAAAGGCCTTATGAAGTTGTGAAAAAGCTGGTTGACAGCTTAATTAAAAAGGTTTACAAGGTGGTGCTTCTCTTGGAGAATAAATGGATAAATCTAGTGACAAGCAATTTAAATCAATGCTCAGAGGCATATTTTGCTAATCTCCCAAGAGTGGTTTTCTCTCTCAAGGAAAACTAATAATTAGTTAAGCTCTTCTGACTGAAATATAAGCCAAGTTGATGTTACAAGATGAATGGATCCAAAATGTTGGTGTTCATATGATCACCACCTTCTCTCCCTATAGGAAAGTTATGTGGTAGACAAAATAATTAAAGGAACGTTGGAGAGTAATGACTCAGAGGAAAGGAAGTCAACTGATTCAGATATTTATTGGCGTAAGACTGTCAGTAATCTAGGCAAACAATGATGAGGGCCTCAGGGAGTAAGGGCAGAATGGTAGTGGAGAATTTGAGATATATGGTAGAATTTGGTTCTATAATGAGTTTGATTTTGTTTATATTGAGTTTGGAAGGTTGGTGTGACATCCATGAAGAGAATTCCAGCCATAGGTAGTTACGAAAGTATGGAGTTCTGGAGAAATCAGAGCCAAAAGTGGATATTTGGAGTTATCACTATCCATGGGGCATGAGGATACCCAGGCAGAATGAGTAGATCAAACAGAGGCCAGTATTTCAAACCAAAGTAAGCTCAAATGTGTGCTTTATGTTGAAAGGAGGGAGGAAATCCATCTTTGGTGTTTGAGCCTGTGAGACTGGTACTGTGTGATTCCAGCAGGCTTTGCTAGGTTTGGTGCTATTCCAGCTTGTTTTTGTGTTCTCTTGTTAGTCTGTGATTCTGCTTTCAGGCATGAGATGGAAGGGTGTGCAATCAGAATACAGCCAGAGCAGCTGACAGAGGCCCTCAGTTTTTTTCCTTTGGGAAAAACTTAAAGAAGTTAAAACCATCCACAAGTATTTTGATTGACATCTTATCTTGTTACCCTGTCTTCATTTTGAAAATAGTTTGACCATCACCTGGGAGGACGTGGACTAATGAACATTTGAAATCCTTCTTTGCAGGCCTGTAAATTGCTCTCTGATGACTATGAACAAGTACGCAGTGCTGCAGTCCAGCTTATCTGGGTTGTCAGTCAGCTCTACCCTGAAAGGTTAGTGAGGATGTAAGCCAACTTTTGTTCATTGCTAAACCTTTTTCTCTCCTCTTACCATGCAGAAGACCTGCCTCCAGAAAAGTGATGGTTAGATTTTTGGAAGGTGAGGTGATATGGGGGAGAACGATAGACCCTGTAAGTCAGAATGCCTGATCCTCACTGTTCATCTCTGCTGTGAACTTTCTGTGTCTCTTGGAAAAGATGCGTTAGCTCTTTGGGTCCCAACCTCCTCTTCACTTATAAGTGAATAGATTGGTCTATATTTCATAGGGGCTTTCAGCACTTTTTTTTGGCTTATCTTTACAATTGCTGGGGACCTCTGTTAATTTTTTTTTTTTAAGATTTATTTATTTATTTGAAAGTCAGAGTTACACAGAGAGAGAGAGAAAGAGAGAGAGTCTTCCATCCGCTGGTTCACTCCCCAAATGGCCGCAATGGCTGGAGCTGCACCGATCTGAAGCCAGGAGCCTCATCCGTGTCTCCTATGCGGATGCAGGGTCCCAGGGACTTGGGCCATCCTCTGCTGCTTTCCCAGGCCACAGCAGAAAACTGGACAGAAGTAGAGCAGCTGGGTTTTGAACCTATATGGGATACCAGTGCTTCAGGCCAGGGTGTTAACCCACTGCGCCACAGCACTGGCCCCATAGGGGACCTCTTTTAATTTGGCTGAGGCCAAATGCCAGATAAAGCTGTCTGGTGAGTTTGGGAATAATGATCCCTTATATAGTGTTTTGTGGTTAAAAAACGTTTTCATAACAATTAAATCATTGATTCTCACAGTGAATCTTTGAGGTAGATAGAAAAATAATATTCTGTTTTATTAGAAGAACTCCTTCTATAGGAAAAAAGATGCTTTCTCCCTTTCATTAAACTGACTTCTCGGGGCTGGCACTGTGGCACAGCAGGTTAAGCCACTGCCTGCAATGCCACATTCCATATTGGCGCTGGTTAAAGTCCCAGCTGCTCTACTTCTGATCCAGCTCCCTGCTGATGCGTCTAGGAAGGCAGTGGAGGATGGTCCACATCCTTGTGCCCCTGCACCCACTTGCGAGACCCATATGAAGCTCCAGGCTCCTGACTTCAGCCTGGCCCAGCCCCAGCTGTTGGCAACCTTATAGGGAGTGAACCATATGGGGAGTGAACCAGTGGGTGGAATATCGATTTTCTTGGATGGAAAATTTCCCTCTCTCTCTTTGTGTAACTCTGCTTTTCTAATAAATAACTAAAAATATTAAAAAAAAAAAAAAAGCCCTGTTTGGGGCCGGCACTGTAGCATAGCAAATTAAGCTGCCTTCTGCAGTGCATGCATCCTGTATGGGCACAGTTCAAGTCCCGGCAGCTCCACTTCCAGTCCAGCTCCCTGCTAATGTGCCTGGGAAAGCAGTGGAAAATGGCCCAAATCCTTAGGCCCCTACACCCTCATGGGAGACCCAGAAGAAGCTCCAGGTTCCTGGCTTTGGATCGGCCCAGCTCTGGCCGTTATGGCCATTGGGGAGTGAATCAGCAGAAGGAAGCTCTCTCTCTCTCTCTCTCTCTCGCTCTCTCTCTCTGTAACACTGCCTTTCAAATAAATAAATAAGTCTTAAAAACAAAAACAACCTATCTTCTAAAATCTAAAAGCTAAAGTGAGTTAATAAGCCTGTATAGGCATGGGCTCCATTTTTCTTTTATTTTCCCCAGAAATCTTTTATTTAAGGAATATGAACTTTCCATTTTTCATTTTTTAGGGTATAGATCCTCCCTTGCAGCACCCCCCCCCATGAACACACACAGACATAGGCTCACATATACTTACACAAAGACTAATCAATGATTCCTGCTTTTAGAACCTGATTTGCAAGTATGTTTTATATTGATTTAATCTGAGATTTACTGTTTTTACAACCGTTCTAATATAGGAGATGATAAAAAGGATATGAAATATGCTATGGTAGCCAGTTTTGGTTTCTTCATACATACATCTTTGAAGTTTTGGTGGGTTATACACTTTTATTTTAAAAATACTAAAAATTTGCAGTGCAGCTAAAAGGGGATTAGTTTATGTTCCTAGGTTGGTTTGTATACTCTGAAATGTGTTTCATCATTCTAAGATTTAAATTATTCAATTTGTCTTTTCCATGTGTACCAGTTTTCTTTTTTTTTTCAGTTTATTGCCACCTTAGGCTCATGTTTTGTCATATATGTCTTCTTTTCTTTTAATTTAGCATTGTCCCAATCCCTTCTTCAAATGAAGAAATTCGTTTAGTTGATGATGCCTTTGGAAAAATTTGTCATATGGTCAGTGATGGCTCCTGGGTGGTTCGTGTTCAAGCTGCAAAACTATTGGTAAGTTATACTTTCTTCAATAAACACATTGTCCCTTAACATTTACAGACATATTACACATACACATTGCACACACACACACACACACACACGTATGTCTATTTCTATAAATGTCATAACTAGAAAATCTGAAGTTCTTTTTGAGTACTTCCTCTCTCAGGGCCCCTAGCTCTGCCACTCTTGGTGAGATTGTTGGCTGAATGCTTTGTACCTGACTATACCAAATGTAGATCTAGTGATAGTTTTAGCCCTGTGACCAATACTTATGTGAATAACTGCTGAAATCTATGTCAAGGCATTTTTTTTTTTTTTTTAAGATTTATTTATTTACTTGAAAGTTAGAGTTAAACAGAGAGAGAAGCAGAGGCAGAGAGGAAGAGGTCTTCTATCCACTGGTTCATTTCCCATTTGGACGCAACAGCTGGAGCTGTGCCGATCTGAAGCCAGGAGCCAGGTGCTTCTCCTGGTCTCCCATGCGGGTACAGAGCCCAAACACTTGGGTCATCCTACACTGCCTTCCCGGGCCACAGCAGAGAGCTGGACTGCATGCGGAGCAATTGAGACAGAATCCAGCGCCCCAACTGGGACTAGAACCCGGGGTGCCGGCGGTGCCGGCCGCAGCCGAGACTAGAACCTGGGGTGCCAGCGGTGCCGGCCGCAGCCGGAACTTTAACCAGTGCCCATGTGGGATGCCGGCATTGAAGGCGGTGGCTTCACCTGCTGTGCCACTATGCCAGCCCCAAGGCATTCATGAAGTAATAAACAATATGGATGATTTTAGTATTTCTTGCTAATAGGTTATATGCTTGTCCGAAGTAAAATAGAGTTAAGCCAGCTCTTACTAGTCTTTATTTTTGAATTTGTGTTTTGTTTTGAATTCAAGCTTTCTCTTGGTTTATGAATATTTTAAAATTCAGAACCATCCAGTCATCTGTTAAATCTTTTCATTCAGCATTATGGAGTAGGGCAGGTATTTGGGTCAATTAAGTTGCTGCTTGGGATGCCTGCATCCTGTATCAGAGTGCCTGATTCTAGTCCTGGCTATTCCACTTCTGATACAGAATTCCTGCTAATGCATCCTGGGAGGTAGCAAATGATGACTCAAGTACTCGGGTTCCTGCCACCAATGTGGGAGACACAGATGGAGCTTTGGTCTCCTGGCTTTGGCTTGGTCCTTCCCTGGGTGTTGTGGCATTCATGGAATGAACCACTGGATGGGAGATCTCTCTCTCTCTCCCTTTTAAATAATATGAAAATATATAAGTGTCCGGCGCCGCGGCTCACTAGGCTAATCCTCTGCCTTGCGGTGCTGGCACACCGGGTTCTAGTCCCGGTCGGGGCACCAGATTCTGTCCCAGTTGCCCCTCTCCCAGTCCAGCTCTCTGCTGTGGTCCAGGAAGGCAGTTCCTGGCTTCGGATTAGTGCAGCTTGGGCCATTGCGGCCAACTGGGGAGTGAACCAGCAAATGGAAGACCTCTCTCTCTCTCTGCCCCTCCTGCTCTCTCTGTATAACTCTGACTTTCAAATAAATAAATCTTTAAAAACAAACAAACAAAAAAAGGGACCAGCATTATAGTGTAGCAGGTATAACTGCTGCCTGTAAAGCCAGCATCCCGTGTGGTCACTGGTTCAAGGCTCATCTGCTTCACTTGTGTTCCAGCTCCTTGGTAATACACCTGGGAAAGCAGTGGAAAATGGCCTATGTGCTTGGGCCCCTGCACCCAAATGGGAGACCTGAATGAATCTCCTGGCTCCTGGCTTGGCCTGGCTCAGCTCTGGCTGTTGTGGCCGTTTGGGGAGTGAAGTAGCAGATGGAATATCTCTGTCTGTCTCTCTCTCTGTAACTCTGCCTCCCATATGGGCACCGGGTTCTAGTCCCAGTTGCTCCTATTCCAGTCCGGCTCTCTGTTGTAGCCCAGGAGGGCAGTGGAGGATGGCCCGAGTGCTTGGGCCCTGCACCCACATGGAAGACCAGGAGGAAGCACCTGGCTCCTGGCTTCGGATCGCTGCAGCGCCAGCCATAGCGGCAATTTGGGGGGTGAACCAAGGGAAGGAAGACCTTTTTCTCTGTCTCTCTCAGTGTCTAACTCTATCTGTCAAAAAAAATTAACAAAAAAATTTTTTTTAAAATGTCTTAAAAAATGTTTTCCTGGGCTAACGCCGTGGCTCACTTTGCTAATCCTCTGCCTGCGGTGCTGGCACCCTGGGTTCTAGTCCTGGTTGGGGCACTGGGCACTAGTCCCTGTTGCTTCTCTTCCAGTCCAGCTCTCTGCTGTGGCCTGGGAAGGCAGTGGAGGATGGCCCAAGTGCTTGGGTCCCTGAACCCGCATGGGAGACCGGGAGGAAGTACCCGGCTCCTGGCTTCGGATCAGCGCAGCACCTGCGGTAGTGGCCATTAAGGGAATGAACCAACGGAAGGAAGACCTTTCTGTCTCTCTCTCACTGTCTGTAACTCTCTCTCTCTCTTCTCTCTCTCACTTACTCTGCCTGGCAAAAAAACCCAAATTTTTCCTGACAATTTAGAATCTATAGACATCTTTATTAGCCAGAGAATTATCTTTATGCATAAAGTTACATAAAATTAAATTTTCATGTCAGTTTTCAAGTCATACAGCTTGTTTAATATGCTCTGGAATCTTTATTTTTGCAGGGCTCTATGGAACAAGTCAGTTCTCATTTCTTGGAGCAGACCCTTGACAAGAAGCTGATGTCAGATCTGAGGGTAACTTGGATTCTTCGTTATTTACACTGGGTTTCTTAACCAACATCAGTATAGCTAAACATTGAGTTGTGTTGATATTATTTGGCAGCGCTTGCACTTTTTAAATTATTGTAGGTAACTAGATTACCTTTTGTTTTAAAATCTTAGTAACTTGATCCAAATTACAACTTTATTAAATCTTTTTTTATTATAGCAAAATAAACAGGTTGTGTTTTATAAAGAGGCAAGATTAACTTTCTATTTGTTAGAAACTAAAAAGATCTGGTCTCATTTTAGGAGGTGTTAGGACATTTCAGGAGTTCTTTTTAATAGCAATTCCATCAGAAGAGTGAATGAGTGAAATAGAAGGACAGAGGAATCAATTTACTCTTACTGTCACTATCGTAACACGCTGACTTTGCCAATTTTGCCGTATTTTTCTCAGCCCTTTTTCTTGTGTACATAACTTAAACAGTGAGTCACCCTTTGCAGATTAACATTGTGTCAGGTATATTATTTCATATTGCTAGTTTCTTAAGTAATATTGTTATAGATTCTATAGTATTCTGTTAGGTAGATGTGCCATTGCCTTTTATTTCTTTTAGTTCTCTTCACACATATTACTCCAAATGGTTATGGAGTTGACATTTGTGCTTTTGGAACATTGTCGTGTGTCTTTGATTTGAGGTGGTTGTTATATATATATATGTGGTGTCATGGAACTGTAAAGAGGAATTGCTTATGGTGAATGGGGAGAGATGGGTGATGCAGGGTTTCCAAGACATATTATATTGTAAGGTGTAAGCTTGACACACTTCCTTTTACACCTAGGTAATGTATCTCATCATTGCCTCTGAGATGTCAGCCATGAGTTTTGGACAATGGAGAAGATTCACAAGAGGCTGATAAATAGAAGCAGGGTGCCAGTTCATTCATTTGTGATGAAAAGCATAAGAGTCGAGTAGACTAGACACTTACCTTTGCAGACCATTGCATTCCCTGTTAGGCAATCTGTGTGGAAAGTGAATTTGCTAGATGGCTATTTGATAAGCATATTACATTGAACAGAATGGTGTTACCATTACCTCCGATGGGACTGAAAATAATTATGTTCTAGAGTCAGTGGATAGTCTACTCAATGGAGTGTTTGGATGGGGAATGCTGTTATTTGCCTCTCTGGTGTTCCCATGTTGTCATGGCAACTGTAACCTGCTGTCTGACCAACACATTCTTCAATGTCTTCATCATCTTTAATTTGGTTACTGCTAGTTATTACAGACCTAAGAGCTTTCAGTTTCACTTTAAGTGCAATTTGCATTTTTCTGCTCTGAACTATTGAGTCATTTTTGGAAAGTATAACTCTCAGAGATCAGTTTGATTTATAGTCTTCCTGTGTTCTTGGGGCATACCTTATTGTTCTTTCATGAGCCTCCTGAAAGTCCTCCTTGTTGCTATCTTCTACAGAGGAAGCGTACTGCACATGAGCGTGCCAAGGAACTTTACAGTTCAGGGGAGTTTTCCAGTGGCAGGAAGTGGGGAGACGATGCTCCTAAGGAAGAAATAGATACTGGGGCTGTGAACTTGATCGAGTCAGGAGCTTGTGGAGCCTTTGTTCATGGGTTGGAAGATGAGATGTACGGTAAGTATGACTACATAATAGTAATAGTCGCCATTTACTGAGGAACTGCTCTGTGTCAGTATTGTATAGGGTAGCACGGTTGTCTTGTTTTGTCCTCATAGTCTGTGAAATAGCCATTTTGATTTTGATTTTACAAAGTGAAGAGGCTGAGATTCAGGTAATGTGATACAGTGGTTAAGAGCATGGGCTTTGGGTTCGTTCAGTTTTAAGTTCCAGCATTTCCACTAAATGAAGACAATATTAAGTGTCTGGTTTGTGAGAATCAAATGAAAAAATATATATGTGTCTGTGTATGTGTCTGTTTGATGAAGCATTTGACAATACATAAATTGTTTATACCTAAGCATAAAAATTTATTTATTTATTTATTTATTTTTATTTTTTTTTGCCAGGCAGAGTGGACAGTGAGAGAGAGAGAGAAAGGTCTTCTTTTGCCGTTGGGTCACCCTCCAATGGCTGCCCCGGCCGACGCACCGCGCTGATCCGATGGCAGGAGCCAGGTACTTATCCTGGTCTCCCATGGGGTGCAGGGCCCTCGTACTTGGGCCATCCTCCACTGCACTCCCGGGCCACAGCAGGGAGCTGGCCTGGAAGAGGGGCAATCGGGACAGAATCCGGCACCCTGACCGGGACTAGAACCCGGTGTGCTGGCGCCGCAAGGCGGAGGATTAGCCTAGTGAGCCGCGGTGCCGGCCTAACTGGTAGTAAAAATTGAAGCTAATAATTTGTTCTTAGACATTTAGCTTGTGAGAGATAGAAGCAGGAATTAAACCCAGGTGTAACTGGCCACAAAGACTTTATATGACTTCATTTAAAATATTTCTTCATTACCAAAGGACGTTTTCAAGGCATGCATTTATCCTAGCTTTTAAGATGCCCCTGTCCCGTATCAGAGTGCCTGGGTTCTATAACTTGTTCTGCTCTTGGCTCCAGCTTCCTAGTAATACAGGTCTGGGAAGCAGTGGTAATGGTTTAAATAGTTGGGCCTCTGCCACTCACATGGGAGACTTGGCTAGAGTTCCTGGCTCCAAGCTGGCTCACGCTTGGTCATTTGGGGAGTGAAGCAGCAGATAGGATCTTTTCCTTCTCTTCTTCCTTCTTTCATGGGAATAAAATTCTGACTTAATAGGTTTTCCCCCTTTGATTCTTAAAAAAATATTTTATTTTTTATTTATTAGAAAGGCAGAGTGACAGAGAGAGTGAGAGAGCACACGAGAGAGCGAGAGAGCTTCCATTGGCTGGTTCATTTCCCAAATGGCCACAACGGTCAAAGTTGAGTCAGGCTGAAGCTAGTGCTGTCCCAGGTGCATTAACAGGAAGCTGGATCAGAAGCGGAGCCACCTGGGCTGGAACCTCTGCTCATATGGGATTCTGGCAGTGGCCCAACCCACTGTGCCACAATGCCAGCCCCCTCTTTGGTATCCTAAAGATGTTGCTCCATAGTTAGATGTCAGTATCTACATTTGTTCTTCGGTAGATAACATGTCTTTTTTGCTCAAGCTGCTTTTACGATTTTTCTCTGTATCACTGATTTTAAGCAATTTGCCTTGGTGTATTTTTTTCTTCATGTTTCTTGCATTTGGTGTTTTTTGAGCTTCTCGGAGCAAATAGTTGATAGTAGTTATCATGTTTGAAAAGTGTTCAGCTATTTTTTTTTTTTTTTTTTAGAATGTTTTGATGGCTATGTGGCCCTTTGGATACTCCAGTTACCTGTGCATTAGAGTATTAAAGGCATTCTGCACTCATCACAGGCTGTTCTTTTTCCTTATTTTTGTTTCCCTCTGTGTGTGTGTGTGTGTGTGTGTGTGTTTGACAGGCAGAGTTAGACAGTGAGAGAGAGAGAGAAAGGTCTTCCTTCCATTGGTTCACCCCCCAGATGGCCTCTACAGCCAGTGCGCTGCGCCGATCTGAAGCCAGGAGCCAGGTGCTTCCTCCTGGTCTCCCACGCGGGTGCAGGGCCCAAGGACTCATCACATATGAGTACTGGTTTGAGTCCTAGGTGCTCTGCTTCTGATCCAGCTCCCTGCTAATGGCCTGGGAAAGCAGCAGAGACTTAGGCCCTTGCCATCCACATGGAGACCCATGTGGAGTTCCATGCTCCTGGCTTTGGCCTGGTCCAGCCCCAGCAATTGTGGACATTTGGGGAGTGATCCAGTGAATGGAAGATCTGTCTCTCCATCTGTTATTCAAATAAAAAATAAAAAAAATCTCATCCAGTGTGTTTTTCATGTCAGATATTGTGTTTTCACCCTTAGAAGTTCAATTAGAATTTGGGTCTTTTTGGTGTCTTTCATCTTTCTACTTACCATGGTTAATCTTTACCTTTTTTTAAAGATATATTTATTTATTATTTGAAAGGCAGAGTTACAGAGAGGCAGGGGCAGAAAAGGGGGGGGTCTTCCATCGCTGGTTGACTCTCCAGTTGTCTGCAACGGCCAGAGCTGCGCTAATCCAAAGCCAGGAGCCTGGAGCCTCTTTCAGGTCTCCCACGTGGCTATAGGGGCCCAAGGACTTGTGTGTAAAATATGTGCCATATTTTACTGCTTTCCCAGGCTATAGCAGAGAGCTGGATTGGAAGTGGAGTAGCCAGGACTCAAACTGGCACCCACATAGGATGCTGGCACTACAGGTGGCGGTTTAGCCCATTATACAACAGGGCTGGCCCAGCGCCTGGTAATTTTTAATTGAATGCTGCGTGTTGTAAATTTTACTTTGTTTGGTAGTGAACATTATTTCTTATTTTTGTAAATATTCTTGAGCTTATTCTGGGATGCATTTTGCTCAGGCCTTATTTTTAAGCTTTGCTAGACAGGGCCACGGCTGCATTTAGTCTGGGGTTTATTTTTCTCCGTTACTGAATTAAACTCTTCTGAATAAACTGCTACAAGGCCTTGTATGAGTTCTGGGAATTGTTTCCTCTAGTCCTTTTGGGTGATTCTTTTCCAGGCCTCAGGTTTCCTCACAGATCAGAACTCAGCTGAAGACCAAGGAGGACCCTTTGCAATCTCCCAAGTTTTCTGTCTCCTCGTGTAGTTCTTTGCTTTCTGTGAACTCTAGCAACATTGTTCTCCCCAGACATCCAGCTCTGTTAGCTCGGGGAAACCAGTAATCTGAAAATTCTTCAAGCACTAAATTGCTATAATGATGGAACTCATCCCATTTATTTCCCATCTTTTAGTGATTTCTGTCCTTCATTGCCTTAGGTTCAGGGTCTGAAATAATTGCTGTTTGTTTGGCATACAGTCATGTTCTGCATAACTTTTGGTCAGTGATAGACTGCTTACATCACTGTGCTCCCAAAAGATGATATTGGAGCTGAAAAATTCCTGTCACTTAGTACTGTCATAGCTGTTATAATGTCATAGCACAACACATTACCCTTGTGCTTGTGGTGCACATACAGTCATGTACAGTATATATGTTTGATAATGATAATGACTGCTATTGGTTTATGTATTTGCTATATGAGTACTTTTTATTATTTATTTATTTATCTGGGAGACAGAGAGCTCCTGTCTACTGGTTTACTACCCAAAAGCCCTGAATGCAGAGGTCTGGGCCATATTGAAATCAGGAGCCGAGAACTCAATCCAGGTCTTCCACATGGATAGTAGGAGCTCAATTACTTGAGCCATCACCTGCTGCCTCCAGGGGTCAGCTTAACCTAGAAGTTGGAGTCAGGAGCTGAGACTCTGATATGAGATACAGTCATCTTTACTACTAGGTTAAATGCCTGCTCCTATAATTTTTTTTCTATTCTTTTTTTTTTTTTTTAAAGATTTATTTATTTATTTGAAGTCAGAAGAGAGAGAAGAGGCAGAGAGAGAGGTCGTTCATCTGTTGGTTAACTCCCCAACTGGCCACAACAGCTGGAGCTGCACCAATCCGAAGCCAGGAGCCAGGATCTTCTTCCTGGTCTCCCATGTTGGTGCAGGGGCCCAAGGACCTGGGCCATCTTCTACTGCTTTCCCAGGCCATAGCAGGGAACTGGAATTGGAAGTGGAACAGCTGGGACTCAAACTGGAGCCCATATGGGATGCCAGCACTATGCCACAGCGCCGACCCCCATCATTATTTTCAAATGTACTCCTACTTAAAAAAGCTTAGTGTAGGGGCCCACACTGTGGCATAGCTGGTGAGGCTGGTGGCAGCATCCCATATGGGCACCGGTTTGTGTTCCGGCTACTCTACTTCTGATCCAGCTCTCTGCTATGGCCTGGAAAGGCAATGGAGGATGGCCCAAGTCGTTGGGCCCCTACACCTGTGTGGTAGACCCTGAAGAAGTTCCTGGCACCTGCTGGGCTTCGGATCGGCACAGCTCGGGCCATCGCAGCCAAATGGGGAGTGAACCATCGGATGGAAGGACCCCACCCCCCCGCCTCTCCTTCTCTCTCTGTAATTCTGACTTTCAAATAAATAAATCTTAAAAAAAAAAAAAAAAGCTTAGTGTAAAGCAGTATGCCATTTTATATCAGCAGTAGCCTCATGCATCACAAAATGTGTCTCTAGATTGTATCAGGAGGCTGTACCAAGTAATTGACCTATACATCTTGGTTTGTGTAAGTACATTCTGTAATGTTCACATAACAGTGAAAACACTTTAATGATGCGTTTCTTAGACTGTATCCCCATCATTAAGTGACACACGACTGCATTTTGTATTTGTCTTGTCCTGGTAGGATAAAGCTGGGCTTTGTTACTCCTTATAATAGAAGTGCTGTAAAGCACTGGTGATACAAGGTGAAACACCATTATATGACGCTGTCTCTGTCACATAGATTACAAAAGGTCAGTACTTTACACTGCTTGACTCGGCCTCCTCATATTCAGCGAGGGTCACAGGCATGGGAAGATAATGTTGACTGTTCAAATTTTACAATAAACTTGTGTCAGTGAAAGGATTAAAACCCTAGTCTTTAAAAAATTACCTCAGGATAGAACTTCTTACAATGGCAAAAATATTATTTGGAAAAACAATTTTTAACCAGTAGATGTAAGAGTTGGAACATATTATCCAATTTTCTCTAAGATGTTCCTTGTGTAGTCTTCTTGTGGTACTTGTGGATCATTTGTCCTGTCTGAATGCTCAAATCCTTTATATAAAATTTACATAAAAGCTATGCTTTATCATTCCATACACTTCAAATCATTTCTAGGTTCCTCTAATACCTTATGCAGTTATAAATGATATCTAATTGTTACACCGAATTGTTTAGGGAATAGTAGCAAGAAAAAAATTTCATGCATGTTTAGTACAGATGAATTCTTGTTTCCATTTTTGAGCAAAAGTTAGTTGAACCCATGGATATGGAACTGTGTAGGAATTAGTTGAAGTTGTGGTAATTTCTAGTCCACAGCGCATTGGGATGACCATAGTTCATGATAATGTATTACATGCTCTATGAAGAATCTGAAGACAGGATCTTGCAGGCTGTAAATATGAAAGATAAGGAAATGGAAGTGCTAATTACTTCATTTGATCAGTTTATAGTGTATACATGTGTTGAAATATTAACCTGTACCCCATAAAAATGTACAAGAATTATATGTGTATTAAAAAAGGAAATTATGCTAGATGAGTAACTGAAATCCATTGCATTTGGTTTCTGTTGTCTTTTTTCTTTGGCTAGTTTCTGTAATTTCATCATGATTAATACTTATGCAGTTTAGTTATAAGCTTTTCATCTTTTTAGGATGAACTAAATCCCTAAAATTTAATTAAAGTGGCTGGCACCGTGGCTCACTAGGGCAATCCTCCATCTGCAGCCCCGGCACCCCGGGTTCTAGTCCCAGTTGGGGCGCCAGTTCTGTCCCGGTTGCCCCTTTTCCAGTCCAGCTCTCTGCTGTGGCCCGGGAAGGCAGTGGAGGATGGCCCAAGTGGTTGGGCCCTGCACCCTCATGGGAGACCAGGAGAAGCACCTGGCTTCTGGCTTCGGATTGGTGCAGCGCGCTGGCCGTAGTGGCCATTTGGGGGGGTGAACCAACGGAAGGAATACCTTTCTGTCTCTCTCTCACTGTCTAATGCTGCCTGTCAAAAAAAATTTTATTAAAGTAACTTAAGTTTGGAAAGTGAACAGACCCTATTCAGGCATCAATGAGAGATAAAGAGACAAATAGACATAGGTTAATCTGAAGCTGGTCAACTTCCCAAATGCCCACAATGGCTGAAGCCTGGAGCCAGGAACTCAATCCAGGTCTCCTGTATGGGTGGTAGGAAAACAGTTAACTGACCATCACTGCTGCCTCCCAAGATCTGTATTAGCTGGAAGCTGGAGTCAGAAGTTGGAGTCAGGTGTCAGACTCCAGTACATTGATGGAGACATAGGTGTCAAACCAGTATGTTGACCACTATACTATACATACGCTTCCTCACACATACTTTTTTTTTTTTTTTTGGACAGGCAGAGTTAGAGGGAGAGACAGAGAGAAATGTCTTCCTTTTCCGTTGGTTCACCCCTCAAATGGCTGCTACGGCTGGCGTGCTGTGGCCGGCGCTCTGCGCTGATCTGAAGCTAGGAGCCTGGTGCTTCCTCCTGGTCTCCCATGCGGGTGCAGGGCCCAAGCACTTGGGCCTTCCTCCACCGCCCTCCTAGGCCACAGCAGAGAGCTGGACTAGAAGAGGAGCAACCGGGACAGAATCCGGCGCCCTAACCGGCACTAGAACCTGGGGTGCCGTCGCCGCAGGCAGAGGATTAGCCAAGTGAGCCACGGCGCCAGCCACACACATACTTTTAGTTATCTAATTATTCCATGTTCTCCTTCCCTTTGGGGACTTTGTGTGAGCAGTTTTTCTGCCTAGAAAGATCTTTTCTTGCTTTTGGACTAGTTGCTCCTTGAGGTATTATTTTATGGTTCAGTTGTTCCAGAAAGCTGCCTCTGGTCATGGTGACTGAGCTATGTCCCTGTTTTGCCTTTTCTGTTACTCCCTGTGGTTTTCCATTGGAACACTCTTAACTCTGTAATGCTATTAATTATTCTTGTTTGTAAGTACTTATCAAGTGATAATCTATTCTTTTTCATCTTTGTATATTGGTACTAAGTACAAAGGTAGTAAGTAACTGAGCCAGGATCAGATTACACGTGTTCAGATGCTAGTGATCTTTCTGTTATCTCTCTCTCTCTCTCTCAGTATAGCATGTTGCTTTTCTCTGCCCTGGACCCTCTTAACAAGTTGCCAATTTTAAACATTCCTAAAAGCCCTATAGAAATGCTAATTTGCTTGTGTATAGCCAGGCTGTACAGGAGGTTAAAACAGGTTTCCTGGCTTCTGCTTGGAGTTGCATCAGCTCAGGTCATGTCAGAAGTTCCTCTGTGATTTCCTTTGTGGACTTGGCAGGGTTATACATAGGTCAGTATAGTGAACGGATAAAACCCTAGGAAGAAGAGCCAGTAGTAGTTAACATGCTTGGATTCATCTGTGGCTTGCTTTATGATTATTAGGAATTTCATGTGTAAATTATATTATTCTGAAGTAGAAAAATCCTTCCCTTCTCATGAAAAGGAAGAATTCATAAGTACCAAGAAAAATGTGAATCATCTCCCTTTAATGTAATAAGTCTACTTTTAATATGCCTTTAAAACCTTTCTTAGACAAAACCAAAATCCATTTTTGAGTTTCAATCATAATTTTATTTAAGTTTTTTATTTCTTAAATAAACCATATATTTTGTTGTATAACTGTTTGGGAACCACTGAAATAAAACAACCACGTTTGAAGTCTTACACGCATTTTCTGTCTCTTATTTCTTGTCTCTCTGTCTTGCTTAGTACAGGGCCTGGCATGTCGTATTAAGGAAATATTTCTTAGTGAACAACTGAAGAGCTTCCTGGGTTTTGTGACTTCACAGTTACATGTTCTGAGCATATAGAGGTAGAAGATGTACCTCTGTTCACAAAAGCCATACCCGTGCCCTTATTGAGCCTTTAACGTATGCCAGGCAGCGCATTACATGCTTTGCCTGCATTAGCTCATTACAATTCTGTAAGGGAATGGATATCTCCAGTTAACAGGTGTTAAAATTGGGTGCCAGGAAATTAAGTTACTTATTCAAGATCATTTTCCAAATTATTGGAGGAATCACTTTCTACAATGCGCTCTGAGACCTATGCCATTCTATAGCATGTACCCTTAATCATTTATGATGCTAACTTAGAATCAACATACCTGGGTCCTAGACTTGTCTCTGCCCTCACTCTGAGGCAAGTTAGTTCACTCACTTTGCTGAATCTTATTTCTGAAATGAAAATAATATCTAGATTATTATAATCTTAATAGGGATAGGATTGTGGCATAGCAGATAAAGTTGCTATCTGCAACACTGGCTTCCCATATGGGCACTGGTTCATGTCCTGGCTGCTCCACATCCAATCTAGCTCATATTAATGGCCTGGGAAAAACAGTGGAAGATAGATAGCCCAAGTGTTTGGGTCCCTGCCACCCAGGTGGGAGACCTGGATGAAGCTCCTGGCTTTGGCCTGCTCCAGCACAGGCTGTTGCTCTCATCTGGGGAGTGAACCAGCAGATAGAAGATTTCTTCTCTGTCTCTCCCTCTCTCTGTAACTCTTTCAAATAACTAAATAAATCTTTTAAAAAATAATGATACTGACATTTTAAAAATGTTTTATTGTGATTGGAATCCTGAGGAAGTAGGACAACCTAGTTTTCAAGAAATTCAATTAATGTTGACACATGTGTAACTCAGTCACATGTATGTAATGGCAGGTTTAAATCTCAGTTCTTGTGCCACCAGAGTCCATGTTCTCAGATCACTGTGAAGGTGGTAGCTCAATCTGTGGAATGTTGGAAACCTCCCAGGCAAAGTTTATAGAGTGAGAGGATTGGAGAATGGAATACCGCCTGAATGAGAAGGAGTCCATCTTGGATTGTTCCCGTGGCCCCTTACTTGCTGTGCACTTCTGTTTGTCCCCTTTCCCCAGAGGTCCGCATTGCTGCCGTGGAGGCTCTCTGCATGCTGGCCCAGTCTTCACCCTCTTTTGCTGAGAAGTGCCTTGATTTCCTGGTCGACATGTTTAACGATGAAATTGAAGAAGTACGTCTGCAGTCCATACATACTATGAGAAAAATCTCCAACAATATTACCCTCCGAGAAGATCAGCTTGACACTGTCCTGGCTGTGTTAGAGGTGAGTGTTTCCAGTTTGTTACTTCTTTCTTTCTTTCTCTGAGGCTTTTATTTATTTATTTGAAAGAGTTATAGAGAGAGAGAAGGAGTGGCAGGGAAAGAGAGAGAGGTCTTCCATCTGCTGGTCCACTCCTCAGCTGGCCCAGCCAGCACTGGGCCGATCTGAAGCCAGGAGCCAGGAGCTTCTTCTGGGTCTCCCACGCGGGTGCAGGAGCCCAAGGACTTGGGCCATCTTCTACTGCCTTTCCAGGCCATAGCAGAGAGCTGGATCAGAAGTGGAGCAGCCGGGACTGGAACCAGCACCCATATGGGATGCTGGCACTGCAGGCAGTGGCTTCACCTGCTACGCCACAGCGCTGGCCCCTTGTTACTTATTTCTTCATCAGCTACCTGTTGAGTGTCTCCCACTTCCGCCCCTTTAACAGAACAACCCTGTGTGGTTCTTAGTTTATTTTTCAAGTATCTGTGCTAGGCATTGGTGTTACAGCAATGTATATGACAGCACAGTTCTGTCCTCTCATCACACTGCTCCTTCAAGATGGAGGAATCTGCCTGTGGATGGGAAATCTGAGTCAACTGTGTATTGCTCTGATTAGGAAAGTATCTAACCTAAGTTAAATTAAGTAAGGTTGGGGACACAGGGAAGGAAGAAGAAATGCTATAGTGGGCCGGCGCCGCGGCTCACTAGGCTAATCCTCCGCCTTGCGGCGCCGGCACACCGGGTTCTAGTCCCGGTCGGGGCGCCGGATTCTGTCCCGGTTGCCCCTCTTCCAGGCCAGCTCTCTGCTGTGGCCAGGGAGTGCAGTGGAGGATGGCCCAGGTGCTTGGGTCCTGCACCCCATGGGAGACCAGGAAAAGCACCTGGCTCCTGGCTCCTGCCATCGGATCAGCGCGGTGCGCCGGCCGCAGCGCGCCGGCCGCGGCGGCCATTGGAGGGTGAACCAACGGCAAAGGAAGACCTTTCTCTCTGTCTCTCTCTCTCTCACTGTCCACTCTGCCTGTCAAAAAAAAAAAAAAAAAAATGCTATAGTGGTCATTTGAAGGAACGGCAGAATTTAATGAGTCTTTTTTTTTTTTTTTTAGATTTATTTGAAAGAGTGTCAGGGAGGAAGTGCGACAGAGAGAGAGAGATTTTTCATCCACCAGTGGGCACTATAGGCAGGGGTGAACCAGCCTGAAACCAGGAGCCAAGAACTCCATCCAGGTCTCCCACATGGGTGCCAGGGACCCAGGTACTTGAACCAACTTCTGCTTCCTTTCTAGGTGCATTAGCAGGGAGATGGATCAGAAGTGGAGCAGCTGGAACTTGAACCTGCCCTCTGATAGGGGATTGCAAGTGGCATCTTACTGTGCTGTGCCACGATGCTAGACCCTTTATTTTTTTTGTTTTTAAAAGTTTATTTGTGGGGGCTGGCACCATGGTATAGCAGGGAAAGCTGCTGCCTGCAGTGCTGGCATCCCATATGGGTGCCAGTTTAAGTCCCAGCTGCTGTACTTCCATTCCAGCTCTCTGCTATGGCCTGGGAAAGCAGTAGATGATGGCCCAAGTACTTGGGCCTCTGTACTATGTGAAGACCCAGAAGAGGCTCCTGGCTTCGAATCAATGCAGCTCCGACCGTTAATGGCCATATGGGGAGTGAACCACCAGATGGAAAACCTCTCTTGCTCTCTGCCTCTGCCTCTCTGTAACTCTGCCTTTCAAATTAATTAATTAATTAATTTTTAAAAAGTTTATTTGTGGGTCCAGCGCTGTGGTGCAGCAGGTAAAACTGCTGCCTACAGTGCCATCATCCCATATGAGTGCTAGTCTGTGTCCTGGCTACTCCACTTCTGATCCAGCTCTCTGCTGTGGCCTGTGAAAGCAGTAGCAGATCACCCAAGGGCTTGGGCCCCTACAGCCATGTGGGAGACCCGGAAGAAGCTCCTGGCTCCTGGCTTTGGATATGCTCAGCTCTGTCCATTGCAGCCATCTGGGGAGTGAACCAGAGGATGGAAGACCTCTCTCTCTGTGCCTCTGCCTCTGCCTCTGCCTCTCCTTTTCTCTAACTCTGCCTTTCAAATAAATAAACAAGTAAATCTTTTTAAAAAAGTTTGTTTGGGGGCTGGCGCCATGGCGCACTAGGTTAATCTTCCGCCTGCAGCGCCGGCATCTCATATGGGCGCCAGGTTCTAGTCCCGGCTGCTCCTCTTCCAGTCCAGCTCTCTGCTGTGTCCGAGAGGGCAGTGGAGGATGTCCCAAGTGCTTGGGCCCCTGCACCCACATGGGAAACCAGGAGGAGGCACCTGGCTCCTGGCTTCTGATCGGCATAGCTCTGGCGGTTGTGGCCATTTAGGGAATGAACCAGCGGATGGGGGACCTTTCTCTCTGTCTCTCTCTCTCACTGTGTGTAACTTTACCTGTCAAATAAATAAATAAATAAATCTATCTTTAAAAAAAAGTTTGTTTATTTGAAAGGCCAAATGACTAGGGAATTGGGAGTGAGGGCTGGCTATGCCAAAGCCAGGATACAGGAACTCCATCCGAGTCTCCTTGTACCAAGAACCCAAGCAACTTAGGCCATCATCTACTGCCTCCCATGTGCATTAGCAGGAAGATGGATATGGAAGCAAGACTCGATCCTAGGCACTCTGATAGGGAATGTAGGCATCCCAGGCTTTGGCTTAACCCACTGTGCCACAACAGCTGCTCCAGTGAATCCAGGGAGTATCACTAGTTATAGGATGGAAGCAGAGTTCTAAAAGATTCAAAGTTAATATTTTCAAGGGATTAAAAAGTATTCATGATAATGGTGGAATACAGTTGAAGAGGTGGTTAAGGGACGGGAAGTTTCTATAGATAAAACAAGGATCAAATAATCGAGTTCTTTTCAGCCTTTGATTTTGTTTTATTCTTCTGGGGAGTCATAGGCTGTTTCAGCAGAAAGAAATGTTAGAGACTGATTTATTCAATCATGTAGATTTACAGAGAAAAAAGCTATTTGCTTGTGGTCACATAGCTAATAAGTATTTATGCCAGGTTATGAACACAGAGTTGCTTCGTAGGCTGTACAACGCTGTGTGATTCTTAGTTTATTTTTCGAGTATCTGAATTTTATTTGTGAGCACCAGAGTTTTTGGAAGTGTAATATAAGAGGGATAGCAATTTAAAATTTAGTTCTTAGCACATTTATCACAGACTTCTGCCACCTACTTGAGAAAGCAGATTGGGTGCTTTGGTTTTGAAGGTAGTTACCATTCTCTCAGATATACAACGTTTCTATTTAGATTTTTCCTGGATTAGAAATTTTATTTATTTATTTCCCTACACAGGTGTATACTCTGTGTATTATCTTCCAGGTGGCCTCTGTGATCTTGCTACTCTTTTTCCTTTTGGCTTTCTTTCCTTCTGTTCCTTACCTTATATTTTACGCTGTGGTTGCTGTCCTACGCATCATGCATTTCCTCATCAGTTTTCCTCCGTCGTCATAGGTTTTCCCCCTTGCCTGCAAATCTGCCACTTTTCCCTTGATAGACTTCTGCTTCTTCCTGGTCTACTTCAGGTAACTTATCCAAGAACCCTTCCCTAACTACTACCCTCAGCATGGGTGGGGTTAAGTGCTGCTCCCCGTTGTTCCCATTCAACCCTTTGTATAATACCCTAGCATTGATCAGTATTTTTTCATTCTTCAAGACTGAGCTGCTCAAGGTATCAGCATTCTGGCTCTTTGCACTTTTGTTTTTAATTTGACAGATAGAGTTAGACAGTGAGAGAGAGACAGAGAGAAAAGTATTCCTTCCGTTGGTTCACCCCAAAAATGGCTGCTACAGCTGGAGCTGTGCTGATCCGAAGTCAGGAGCCAGGTGCTTCTTCCTGGTCTCCCATGCGGGTGCAGGGGCCCAAGCACTTGGTCCATCCTCCACTGCCTTCCCAGGGCCACAGCAGAGAGCTGGACTGAAAGAGGAGCAACCAGGACTAGAACCCAGCGCCCATATGAGATGCCGGCACCGCAGGCGGAGGATTAACCAAGTGAGCCATGGCGCCGGCCCCTCTTTGCACTTCTTTTATTCCCACTGCCTTGAGGCATCTGCCACGATTAGGTGCTCGGTAAATTGTTGCTGAGTAGCTGTGTCCCAAGCTATGTTTTAATGTACAGAATTGTTCACAGGGCCATCTGTATACTATTTGTGAGCACTTTTGTGTATAACTCACAAAGAATTTGTATAGCTATAAAGTCCTTAATTTGGAATTCTGTTCAAGTATTTAGACTTAGACGAGCTCATTGTCTCTAAACTGTTCCTTGACCATGTTACTCTTTGCTCCCTTATATTTACTGTGTGACTGTACTTCATTGCTATTGCTTTGAGCCTTAACTGGCTGATCCTTCCAGCTTCACTGGCCTTTGTTGTGATATTATCCCACCTAGAGAAATCCATTTATCTAAAAAGCACCACTGGAATTACAGGGGTATCAACAAAGTGGTTTCAAAACATTTAGGGTCCCTGCTCTGAAAGAACTTATATTCAAAGCGAGATAGAAAAACAAAATGATTTCAGATAGTGATACAACTTTCGCAGAAGATAAAGTGTGATAGAGGAGTGAGGATTTTCACTGTATTGAAGAGACTGGTAAAGCCTTTCACAAGTTATAATATGGGAGTTGTGTGTTGAATGACAAAAGCAAGCCAGCCATATCAAGACTGGGGAGGGAACTTCAGGTAGAGACAGCAGCTAGTGGAAAGGCTCTTAGGCACAAATGAACTTTGGTGTGTTTGCAGAACAGAGTATAAAGAATAATATAGGTGGGATATAGGAAGAAGGTAGAAATGTGATACACGATAAAGGCTGAGAGCTGCATAGGGAGGTAACAAGTGAAGAGCCTTATAGACCATTGTAAGATGTTCGGCTTTTATTCTAAGCAATACAGGAAACCATTGGAGGATTTTTGTGGGCATGAGTGACATGTTGACCCCCTCTCCTTTATTTATTTGAAATTCAGAGTTACACAGAAGGAGAGGCAGAGAGAGACGTCTTCCATCCACTGGTTCACTCCTCAATAGACCGCAAAGGCCGAAGCTGTGCTGATCTGAAGCCAGGAGCCAGGAGCTTCTTCTGGGTCTCCCACGTGGGTGCAGGAGCCTAAGGGTTTGGGCCATCTTCCACTGCTTTCCCAGGCCATAGCAGAGAGCTGGATCGGAAGTGGAGCAGCCAGGTCTCGAACTGGTGCCCATCTGGGATGCCAGCACTGTAGGTGGTGGCTTTACCTGCTGGCACTTAGCGCAGCGGGTTAAAGCGCCAGCCTGCAGTGCCTGCATCCCATATGGGCACCGGTTTGAGTCCCGGCTGCTCTGCTTCTGATCCAGCTCTCTGCTGTGGCCTGGGAAAGCTGTAGAATAAGGCCCAACTCTTTGGCCCTCTGCACCCACATGGGAAACTTGGAAGAGGCTCCTGGTCCTGGCTTTGGATCAGCTCAGCTCTAGCCATTGCAGCCATTTGGGGAGTGAACCAGTGGAATGGAAGACATCTCTCTCTGGCTCTACCTCTCTCTGTAACTCTGACTTTCAAATAAATGAAATAAATCTTTAAAAAACAATATCTAAATAAATGCCATCATAGGACATAAAGTGGAGAAATTACAACAAAAAAAGACAAAATAAGCTGGAAAAATATTTTGTATATTGAATGGTAGTTAAGAAACATATTATCCAATTGCAATGTGTAGACTTTATCCGGGGCATGACTAAAACAAACAAAATATTTGGGTCAATCAGGAAGATTTAAGTAATGACTTGATATTTAATATTAGGAATTTTTAAATTTTTAGGCATGAGATCAGTGTTTTAATTTTCTATAAAGAATTTTTATTTTTTAAAGAGTTTTTTGGAAATATTAACCAACATAATACTATAGTTTCTGTGATTGGCTTTCATCTGATTGGGAGGAATTGGTAAAGGGGTAGATAAGACTGTGAGTTGACAGTTATTGAAATTGGGTAATATATTCTACTTTTATGTATATTTCAAAGTGTACACATTAGAAAGTTTTTAGACCTTGGCATTGTGGTGTAGCTCTTAAAGCTACCACCTATGATGCCAGCATGCCATTTTGGTGCTTGTTTGATTCCTGGCTACTCCACTTCCAAGGCAGCTCCCTGCTAGTGGCTCAGGACAGCATGGGCCCCTGCCACATTTGGGAGACCTGGATGAAGCTCCTGGCTTGGGCCAGGCCCCACCCCGGCCTTGCAGCCATCTGGGTAGTGAACCAGTGGATGGAAGATCTCTGTCTCTCTGTCTCTCTCTCTGTAACTCTGACTTTCAAGTAAATAAATCAATCTTTAAAAAAAAAAGTTGCAAAACTAGCAAAAACTGTTTTGGAGATCCCAAGTAAGATTAGGACTGATGTGTGTGCGTTTATTTGCATAAAGATGCTGTTGGGGACCTTTTCTAATTATTTTGTGTGGTTAGCAGGAGATGTTGAGAGCAGAGTCTACTTCTCTGATGCCATCTCTTACTATTGGTTTTTTGTTTTTTCAACTCTAGTCGTGTAGGTTTTATGCTCTCTTTAAAACATGCAAACATTTTACATAAGGGAGTTGGACATTTGTGGATTTTGGTGTCTGAATGAAGTCCTGGAACCATTCTCTGATAATATGGGGGGACAACTGTATTTATTTTTGTCTTCCTACTTTTGATGTCCTGGATTTGATTTTAATCAATGCTGGATCCCTAGTACCTGACACATATAGGTGCTTGATGGATGTTTAAATGTTTAAGAAGTGCTTAATAAATGTTGAATGGATTAATACCTGGAGAAATGAATGAATTCTTTATGTCTGAGCTCACTTGTCACCTTCTCTGAAGCCTTCTGATCCACCAGCTCCTTTTTCCCAGAAAATTGAGAGAATCTTCATTCTGTGCTCTCATTGTAATTCCTATACTCCTCCTTAAGAGCAATGAAGTGATTGTTACTCTTTGTCCTTGTGCATATCTGTCTCCCTTCCTAGATACTAAATTTCTGGGGTGTAGGAATCATGACTGCTATTAATACTCCCCTTATTTATTTATTTGGGAGAGTAGAGGGGCAGAGGCAGAGAGAGAGAGAGAGAGTTCTTTCATCCGCTGGTTCACTCCCCAAATGGCTGTAATGGCTGGAGCTGGGCCGATTCAAAGCCAAGAGCCAGGAACTTCTTCCAGGTCTCCCACATGGCTGTATGGGCCCAAGCCCTTGGGTATCTGCTACTGCTTTCCTAGGCCATAGTGGAGAGCTGGTTTGGAAGTGGAGCAGCTGGGTCTCAAACCAGCACCCGTATGGGATTCCAGCAGTGCAGACAGCAGCCATTCACCACAAGCACCCATTTCACCACAGGCACTGGTACCCCACTGACTTTTTTTTTTACATTTATTTATTTATTTGAACGTCAGGGGCTGGCGCTGTGGCATAGCGGGTAAAGCCGCTGCCTGCAGTGCCAGCATCCCATATGGGCGCCAGTTTGAGTCCTGGCTGCTCCATTTCATATCCAGCTCTCTTCTGTGGCCTGGGAAAAGTGGAAGATGGCCCAAGTCCTGAGGAGACCTGGAAGAAGCTCATGGCTCCTGGCTTTGGATCAACACAATTCCGACTGTTGTGGCCATCTGGGGAGTGAACCAGCAGATGGAAGACCTTTCTGTCTATCTCTTTCTGTCTCTGCCTCTCTCTAACTCTGCCTTTCAAATAAAATAATTTTTTTTTTTTAATAAAGAGAGTTACACAGAGAGAGAAGTAGAGGCAGAGAGAGAGAGAGAGAGAGGTCTTCTGCTGGTTCACTCCCCAATTGGCCCCAACAGCTGGAGCTGTGCTGATCCAGAGCCAGGAACCAGGAGCTTTTTCTGGGTCTCCCATGCGGGTGTAGGGGCCCAAGGACTTGGGCCATTTTCTACTGCTTTCCCAGGCCATAGCAGAGATCTGGATTGGAAGTAGAATAGCAGGGACTTGAACCAGTGCTCATTGGGATGCTGACACTGCAGGCAGTGGCTTAACCTGCTGCGCCACAGAGCCAGACCCTACTTTTTAAGAGTCAATGATAGCATTACTATTTCTGAGTTTTCTTGTGACCCTTTCAGACATATGTGATCCTATACATTGTCACTGCAGCCTGAAATACAGTGTTCTGCATCCCTGTTCCTCCTTATACTATGAGTGACTTGAAATTACGGTTGTTATTATATTTCATATAATATTAATTGTGTTCATAGTATCCTAACACTTTCTATGGTGCCTGTTGCCAGTAAAAATTTTAACAGATTTTTTGAATGATAAGACAAATTGTATTGAATAAAACTTTGTAGAAGCTGGCGCGTGGCTCACTAGGCTAATCCTCCGCCTTGCGGCGCCGTCATATCAGGTTCTAGTCCCGGTCGGGGCGCCGGATTCTGTCCCGGTTGCCCCTCTTCCAGGCCAGCTCTCTGCTGTGGCTAGGGAGTGCAGTGGAGGATGGCCCAAGTCCTTGGGCCCTGCACCCCATGGGAGACCAGGAGAAGCACCTGGCTCCTGCCTTTGGATCAACGCGCTGCGCTGGCTGCAGCGCGTTGGCCGCGGCGGCCATTGGAGAGTGAACCAACGGCAAAGGAAGACCTTTCTCTCTGTCTCTCTCTCTCACTGTCCACTCTGCCTGTCAAAAATAAAAAATAAAAAAAATTAAAAATAAAAGAAAATCACAAAACTTTGTAGCATGTGTCTTGCTGTAGTTAACAGACTGTCTGATGATAGTCTACCGTATAATAGCTTATTTTTCCTATTTAATCGAAGTCTAAATCTAGGCATTCTGGGATCTAGGATAGCTGTTCAAGAAAGTTGAGGAACCTCAGCCCTGTCTCTCATTTTTCTTTGACCTGCTTAGCCTGTCCTTTGTAGTTTCAAGGAGGCTCTTGTATCTTCAACATCATGATTGAGTTCTAAACAGAAAGGAAAAAGTTTAAAAAGCAAAAGAGAGCAAAGCTGGTCCTATTCTTAATGACTAAAATGAGGTTCTTTTTAGGAGTGTCAGCCAGCAAACTTCTGAACGCTTTGTCACCTGGCTGCCCTAAATGAGAAGGTGGCTGGGGTCAAGGGATGGTGAATGGAGGCTGGTTTTGCTAATTAACAGTGACTGCTATTACCATTGCTAACTGTTTGTTGTTTTTTTAAGGATTCATCCAGAGATATTAGAGAGGCTCTTCATGAACTCTTGTGCTGTACTAATGTTTCAACTAAAGAAGGGATTCATCTTGCACTGGTGGAGCTGCTAAAAAACTTAACCAAGTACCCTACGGATAGGGACTCCATATGGAAGTAAGGACTCCCTCTCCCCCGTATACTGACCGAGTGTCATAATGTGGTAAATGTCTAATAGTAACATTATTTGGTGAATCATCACAGATTGAGGGTATGGCCCTCAATTTCCCAATAATTTAGAAATCTGAATTAATCTAACGAAACTCTCAGGAATCTGATTCCTAAAATGGATAGCACATAATATTATTAGTATTTTCCTAATAAATCTTCTGTAAAATGGATAGCACATAATATTATTAGTATTTTCCTAATAAATCTTCTGTGCCTACTATGTGCTGATGACTGTGCTGCAAGCCCTGTGGTAGGTGTTAGAGGTACAGAGATGAATCAAATGGATCTCCTGTTTCTTCTAAATAGTATTAATCATGCCTTTGTCTATTTTGCATTTTGTACAGGACTGCCAACATTATTATAGAGATTGGAAGCAGGCCAGCACTTGATGTACAGCTGGAAATTCTTAATCAGTTTTACCCCCAGTCACCTCTAGCTTTACCAACTACAGTCTTGCTCTTAACACTATTTGTTAATTTCTATTTGCAGAACTACTTGCACACGTGTAATATAAAATGTGTGTCATGAGGGTGGATATTGTATCATAGCAGGTTAGACCTCTGCTTGGGATGCTACATCCCATATTGGAGTGCTGGTTCAAGTCCTAGCACCTCCATTTCTGATCCAATGTCTTGCTTATTCATCCTGGGATACGAAGGATAATGGCTGAAGTGCCAGGGCCCCATCAGCTATGTGGGAGGCATGGATGGAATTCTGGACTCTTGGCATTGGCTGGCCTAGTCCTGGCTGTTTTGGCATTTGGGGAGTGCATCAATGGATGGAGGATCTTTCTTTGTTTCTGTCTCTCTGCCTTTCAGGTAGATGAATATAAATAAACATTTTTAAAAGAGATTTTATTTATTTATTTGAGAGGTAGAATTACAGGTGTGGGGGTGGGGGCCACAGAGAGAAAGGTCTTCCATCTGCTGGTTCACTCCCCAAATGGCCACAATGGCCAGAGCTGAGCTGATCCAAAGCTGGAGCTTTTTCTGGGTCTCCCACATGGGTGCAGGGGCCAAAGAACTTGAGCCATCTTCTGCTGTCACAGGCCATATCAGAGAGCTAGATCAGAAGAAGAGCAGCCAGGACTAGGACTGGTGCCCATATGGGATGCTGTTGAGGGCTTAGCCCACTATACCACAGCGCCAGACCCATAAATAAACATTTTTTAAAAAATGTTTGTTATGGTATTACTCATATTTAAATAAACTTATATGATAAAAATACTCCAGTTGTATATAGTTTACTGGTTTTCAGGATGATTTATAGGGGCCAGCACTGTGGTATGGCAAGTAAAGCTGCTATCTGCAGTGCCGGCATCCCATATGGGGGCTGGATTGAGTCTTGGCTGCTCTACTTCCCATCCAGCTCCCTGCTAATGTGCCTGGGCCCCTGCACCCACGAGGGAGTCAAAGAAGAAACTCCTGGTTTCAGACCTGACCAGCTCTGGCTGTTGTGGCTATTTGGGGCATGAACCAGCAGATGGAAGACCTCTCTCTCTCCCCCACTCTCTAATTCTGACTTTCAAATAAATAAGTCAATCTGTTTTTTTTTTTTTTTTTTTAAAGAATGAACTAATTAAAAAAAAGAATGTCATTTGAAGAAAGACAATTTATTACTGAAAGTAGGAAAACTGGGGCTAGTATTGTGGCATAGCAGGTTTAGCCTCATTTGTGATGCCAGCATTGCATTATGAACACCGGTTTGAGTCCCAGCTGCTCTGTGTCTGATCCAGCTCCCTGCTGATGCGCCTGGGAAGGCAGCAGAGGGTGACCCAAGTGCATGGACCCCTGCTACCCATGTTTATGTGGGAGACCCGGATGGAGTTCTAGGCTCCTAGCTTCAGCCCGGTCCAGTCCCAGGCTTTGCAGCCATTTGGGTAGTGAACCAACAGATAAAAAAATCTCTCTTTATCTCTCCCTCTTTCTCTGTAACTTTGTCTTTCAAATAAATAAACAAATCTTAAAAAATAAGCAGGTTAAAAGTAGGAAAACTGAAGGTTAAATTAAGTGTTTGGAAGACGTTGAAAGCTACAATACCAGGGGAGTCTTTGATCTTGATCATGTTTTTGGTATCTAGTTTTCTCTTTTGCCTTCTCTTCATGTATGTCTAATTTAGCCCAATTCATCCTACATTTGTTGATTTTTTTCAAGGAGAATCTCATCATTTTTAGTGTAAGTGATTTAGTGAGGATAAACACTTATCAGGAACTATATTCTGTGGAGATGATTAATTCTGCTTGATTAAGGAGTTGTTACAGAACTTTTCACTCAAAAGTTTTCTAGCATTAAAACAAGAGTTGTGGTATTTCGTGTCTTACCATTTTGTTTTTTTTTTCTTCTTTTTTTTTTTTTTTAGAGATTGGTTTATTTGAAAGGCAGAGTAACAGGGGAGAGGGAGAGACAGAAAGATCTTCCACCTGTTGGTTTACTCCCCAAAGGCCACAGTGACTGGTACTGTGCAAGGCTGAAGCCAGGAGCCAGGAACTCCTTCCAGGGCTCCTGTGTGGGCAGCAAGGGCTTAAGTACTTGAGCCATCATCTGCTGCTTCCCGGTACATTATGAGGGAGTTGCATTGGAAGTGGAGTAACATGGGTCCCAAGTAGCAGCTTAACCTGCTTTGCCACAATGTCTGCCCTGTGTGAAGTTGTCTTTATTGAGTGATTGTGGACAAAAAAATTCCATAACTGTATAGTGCTGCAAAAGATGTTGAGTTATCTGCTCTAATTGTCACTTAACTTTAAAATCTCTTCCCATAAATAATAGCTTTCTTTATAAATATTAAAAAATTACACATGAGAACAGCTGTTCGGTACAGCAGTTAAGATGCCGCTTGGGATACTAGCATCTCATAATGGAGTGCCTTTTTGAGACCTGACTCTGCTACAGATTCCAGCTCCTTACTAATTCAGATCCTGGGAGCGACAGGTTGTGGCTCAAGTGATAGGGTCCCTACTATCCACGTTGGAGACTTGAATGGAATCCCCAGTTCCTGGACATTTTGGAAGTGTACAGACAGATGGGAGGTCTTTCTGGTTGCCTGTCTCTATCTCTCAAATAAGATAAATTAAATAAAAATAAAATGGTAAAAGCAAAAAAGTAGTACGTTTTTAGGGTGTTGCTAAAGAGAGATGCATAAATGAAAGCACTGAAGGGGGTAATTTGTTGTGTTCATTTATCTTAAGTTCATTCAAGAAATGCTTTCTGAGCACTTGTTATAACCATATTACTGTGTTGGGTCCTGTGGAAATTTAAAAATGGATTGAGGGTTTGGTGTTTGGAACAGTGGTTAGAACGTGTCTTCAGACACCCCTACCCCCTATTGGAGTAACTAAGTTTGAGGTCTGACTCCAGGTTGCTCTTAGTGCAGTTTAAAGTGTATGATGGCTCAAGTAGATGGGTCCCTGCCATTCACATGGGAGACTTTGATTGAGTACCTGGCTTTTGGTTTGGGCTTGGCCCATCCTTGGTTATTATGGAGGGTGAACCAGGGGGTGGGAGGTTCCTTTCTTTCTCTCTCGTCTCTCTACCTTTCAAATAAATTTTTAAAAATTAAAAAATTTTTACAACATGGGTTTACTGAAAGACTGAAATAGCAGAAAGGGAGAGAAATAGGAAATATGTACATAAGAAAATAGACAAAAGAGTAAAAAATCAACTCTATTAAGAAGCCAGAATTGCAGCCTAGCTTAGAGAGACCCGGATATGTAGGGATCTATCTGCTGGTTCATTTCCCAGATGCCTTCAGTGGCCAGGACTGGGCTACTGGGAACCCAATCCAGGTCTCCCACATGGGTGGCAGGGACTTAACTACTTGAGCCATCACCTACTGCCTCCCAGGGTCTGCATTAGCAGGAAACTGGAAATGGGAGCTGGATCTGGGAATCAAACTCAGGTACTCAGATATGGGACGAATGTCTTAGCCAGTGCTGTTCTACCTTCAGCAGGTAGAAAAAGTGTCCTTCATTTGGTTGTTCATTACCTTATAATGTTGCTCATCTTTGCATTACCTAGATCATTAACTTAATGAGAACAGAGATTAAGATTTATATTTCTTTTTAATTCATAACCTGAACTTAACAAATAATAAAAAATACATGATTTCTTTACTAGTGTCATTCTTTATGAAGTGCCTTCATGTAACTGTAATAGCTAACGTTTGTTGGTTTCTTACCATGGTACACCTTAGTAGTATTTTCTTTTTAAGATTGTTTTATTAATTTGAAAGGCAGAGTTACAGAGAGGCAGAGGCAGAGAGAAAGAAAGAGAGATCTTCCATCTCACTCCACAGATGGTCACAATGGCTGAAGCTGGGTTGATCAAAAGGCAGGAGCCAGGAGCTTTTTCTGGGTTTCCATGCAGGTGCAGGGGCCCAAGGACTTGGTCCTTCTTCCACTGCTTTCCCAAGCTATAGTAGAGAGCTGGATCAGAAGTAGAGCTCTGGCTATTGAACCCCTGCCCATTTGGGATGCCAGTACTGCAGGCAGAGGTTTCACTTGCTACACCACAACACCAGCCCCACTATGTACTTTTATTTATGTTGTTTCATTTAATCCCTATAGCAACTCTATAAGGTAATTTTTAAAAAAAATTTTCCCCCAAAGAAACCTTTTATTTAAGGAATACAGATTTCATGCATTTCATAACTACAACTTTGGGAATATAGTGATTCTTCCCACCATGCCCATCCTCCTACCAATTCTCTCACCCCTCTTCCTTCCCCCCTCTCCCATTCCCAGTCCCATTCTCCACTAAGATCAATTTTTGATTGACTTTGTACATAGAAGACCAACACTATACTAAGTAAAGTGTTTAATAATTTGTACGCAAAACAAAACAAAACAAACCTGTTCATAAAATGTCAGGACAAGGGCTGTTAAAGTCATTGCATCTTTCTTTCTTTCTTTTTTTTTTTTTTATAAGATTTATTTATTTATTTGAGAGGCAGAGAGAGAGAGAGAGAGAGAGAGGGGTCTTCCATCCGCTGCTTTACTCCCCAGATGAATGCAGTGGCCAGAACTGAGCCCATCCGAAGCCAGGAGCCAGGAGCTTCTTCCAGGTCTCCCACGCGAGTGCAGAGGTCCAAGGAATTGGGCTATTTCCACTGCTTTCCCAGGCCATAGGAGAGTGCTGGATCGGAAGTGGAGAAGCCGGGTCTCAAACTGGCACCCATGTGGGACGCCAGCATCCTAGGTGGCAGCTTTACTCGCTACGCCATAGCACTGGCCCCAGTCATTACATTTGAAGTTAATTTCAATTCTTTTATCTTTTTTGAAACCTAATTAACTTTAAAGAAGCACCCAAGAATGATACATCTTTGGGAGCACTTAGACATAATTATAATACAATGCTTTGAGGACAGAGTTCCTGCATGGGATATTAGTGCACAGTGACTCTTGTTAATTTAACAATTAACACTCTTATGTAGATGTCAGTGATCACCTGAGGCTCTTGACATGAGCTGCCTAGGCTGTGGAAGCCTTTTGAATCCACAAACTCGTCAGTGTTATAGACAAGGATATAAATATGTAAAGTAGAAGTTCTCTCTTCCCTTCAGAGCAAAGTATCTTCTTTGATGACCACTTCTTTCCATTGGGGTCTCACCCACCAATGTCCTTCATGGAGGACTTTTTTTGCCACAGAATCTTGGCTTTTCATGCCTGGAATGCTCTTGTGGGCTTTTCAGCCAGACCAGAATAGCTTAAGGGCTGATTCTGAGGTCAGAGTGCTATATAAAGTGTTTGTCATTCTATGAGTCTGCTGTGTGGACTGCTTCGCATGTTGGAGCAGTCACTCTTTTTTTTTTTTTTCTAAAGATTTTATTTACTGGGGCCGGCTCTGTGGCATAGCAGGTAAAGCTGCTGCCTGCAGTGCTGGCATTCCATACAAGCACTAGTTTGAGTCCTGGCTACTCCACTTCCATTCTACCTCTCTACTATGGCAGGGAAAGCAGTAGAAGATGGCCCATGTCCTTGGACTCCTGCACCCACTTGGAAGACCCAGAAGAAGCTCCTGGCTCCTGGCTTCAGTTTGGCCCAGCTCGGCTGTTGAGGCCAATTGGGTAGTGAATCAGTGGATGGAAGACCCCTCTCTCTCTGCCTCTCTTTCTTTCTCTGTGTGTAACTCTTGACTTTCAAATAAATAAATAAATATTTAAAAAATATTTTATTTATTTTGAGAGGTAGAGTTACATACAACGAGAGGAAGAGACAGAGAGAGAGAGGTTTTCCATCTGCTGGTTTACTCCCCAAATGGCTGCAATGGCTGGAACTAGCCAATCTAAAGCCAGGAGCCAGATCTTCTGGGTCTCCCATGCAGTTACAGGGGTCCAAGTACTTGGGCCATCTTTTACTGCTCTCTGATGCAGAGAGCTGCATCAGAAGAGGAGCAACCAGAAGTAGAACTGGCACCCATATGCGATGCTGGCACTGCAGGCAGAGGATTAACCTACTGCATTCACTCCTTTTTAATTCTATTATTATTATTATTATTTTTTAATTCTATTATTAAGGTAATAACTTTTAATCCTATTGTGTAGGTAAAGAAATTTACCCACCCCAGGCTGTACTGTTTCAGACGAGATCTCTTTATTTATTTATTTACTTGAAAGAGTTATACAGTGAGAGAAGGAGAGGAAAAGAGAGAGAGAAAGAGAGAGAGAGAGAGAGAGGAGAGGTCTTCCATCAACTGGTTCACTCCCCAGTTGGCTGTAATTGCTGGAGCTGGGCCGATCCGAAGCCAGGAGCTTCTTCCAGGGCTCCCATGCGGGTGCAGGGGCCTAAGGACTTGGGCCATAGTCTGCTGCTTTCCCAGGCCATAGGAGAGAGTTTGATCGGAAGTGAAGCAAATGGGATTTGAACCAGTGCCCATATGGAATGCCGGCATTGTAGGTGGTGGCTTTACCCACTATGCCACAGTGCCAGCCTCCAGAACAGATCTCTTATTTCAGAGCTTCATCTGGGCTATCAGTTGTAATGCTTTTGACTACAAGTAAAAGAAAATCTGATTAAAGATATCTTAAGCACTAAGGTGTGATTGTTTTATATCACAAGAAATGAGATGGTTTTAGGATTGATCATTAAACAGTTTAAGAGTTTGGGCCCTGGTTGTTCTCTGCTGTTCTCTTGGAAGGCAATGTCTAGAGACAGAAAAGGAAGAGACATTCCCTTTCACACATTTCTCTTTATTTGGGTATTAAAACATTCCTGAGGAGCTCCCCGGCAGACTTTAGTTACTGGAAAATGGGAAGGGGCTTTCCACGGAGGGCTTCAGCGAGGGGTTCAGCCTTTGCATGAGGCAGCATTTCCAGGGGCACTTTGCTGCTTGCCTGAAACCTGAGGAAAATCAAGGCTCCTCTGGCAAGGAAGATGAGGGAAATGTCTGTTAAGCAACCAAGAAAATCTGCCATAATGGCTCCTTTATCTTTGAGATAACTGCGATTTTTGAGATGAGTTAACTGAGATCCAGAATTATTAGATGATTTATCTGAAGTCATAGAATTAGTAAGCATGGATAGTTGAAAATTTCTGATTCTGAATCAGGTTTTCCGGTTCCAATTCCTGGTCCTGTCTAAAGCACTTACTGATTTACTGAAGTATGCTCTTGTTTGTTTCAGGTGCTTGAAGTTTCTGGGGAGTCGGCATCCAACGTTGGTGCTTCCCTTGGTACCAGAGCTCTTGAGCACCCACCCTTTTTTTGACACAGCTGAACCAGATATGGATGATCCAGCGTGTATCCTTTGTGCTCAGGATGGGCCCTGCTGACTTGGCAGGGGACTTGGGCGTCTTTCTGTAGTGCAGCTAGAGAAGTCTAAGTTTTGTTTTGTTTTCAACTGAGTTTTATTGATTGCCTAAATGCCTATCAAGTAGGTAAAACACACTGAATCATAATTCTCCTGTTTCTGGTATTTGGTTTATCTCTGATTCTATATTAGATGGTTCTGTGTTACTAGGTTATTTACTCAGGGTATATTTTGAGATAGGAAACTACTCATCAATCATTAAAAATTTTCTTTTAAGGTTTACTTCATTTATTTGAAAGGCAGAGTTACAGAGAGAGACAGAGTAAGAGACATAGAGAGATCTTCCATCTGCTGGTTCACTCCCCATATGGCCGCAGCTGCCAGGACTGGGCCAGAGAAAAGCCAGCCAGGAGCTTCCTCCTGGTCTCCCATGTGGATGCAGGGCCCAAAGCACTTGGGCCATCTGCTGCTTTCCCAGGTGCACCAGCAGGGAGCTAGATTGGAAGTGAAGCAGCTGGAACTTGAACCAGGGCCCATAAGGATGCTGGCATTATGCCACAATGTAGGCCCCCAGTCATGACTTTAGCTACCTGGTGCTACATTATTTTTTCACGGGGATTGTACCATTATATACTTAGATAGGCATTGTGTTGAGTTTCTGTTTGTTGGTGTTCTCAGTTGCGTCAGGCTTTTTTTTTTTTTTTGACAGAGTGGACAGTGAGAAAGACAGAGAGAAAGGTCTTCCTTTGCCGTTGGTTCACCCTCCAATGGCCAGCGTGGCCGGCGCACCGCGCTGATCCGATGGCAGGAGCCAGGTACTTCTCCTGGTCTCCCATGGGGTGCAGGGCCCAAGGACTTGGGCCATCCTCCACTGCACTCCCTGGCCACAGCAGAGAGCTGGCCTGGAAGAGGGGCAACCGGGACAGAATCCGGCGCCCCAACCGGGACTAGAACCCGGTGTGCCGGCGCCGCAAGGTGGAGGATTAGCCTAGTGAGCCGCGGTGCCGGCGCAGGCATGATTTTTAAAAACTTTGGTAATTGTGAGCGTGGGTGTAACTGGGAAGTGTATCTCATTGTTTGAATTTCCATTTCTTTGATTATTAGAAAATCATAGTCTAAATTTTTTAAGGGGATTTTGGGAGTAGGATGTGGAGGTACCGCACTTTTGCCAAACTGAATCTCTTATAGTTTCAGGTTGACTTAACCAACTGATCTATCAGACATTGCAGTTTTGGTTCTTATTTTCAATGCTGCCAAAACCTGTCCAACAATGCCTGCACTGTTCTCAGATCATACCTTCAGGCACTATGCCTACCTCCGAGACAGTCTTTCTCATCTTGTTCCTGCCTTGAGGGTATGTTGAAAACATTTCATGTCCTTTCTTTTGTTTTTGTTTTTATTTTTGTTGCTTTGTGGTTAATAGCAGAAAGCAGATTATATGAATATATTCTTTGAAAGCTCATTCATTCAATTTTCTTTCTTTCTTGGATTATCTCTCATTGTTTTGTACTTCTATTTCTATGTTCTTTCCTTTTAAGAAGATTCAATTTTTTAATTGAATCTGGGTATAGATTATATGATGATGGGTAAGAAAAAAGAATTTGGAGTAAAAGATTGTATTTTAGATTAAGGATTCATATTTTAACAGTTGCATAAAACCATGATTCTCCTCAAGTGTTTTTTTTTTTTTAAATAACCAGAGCTTTATTATTTTTTTGAAACCTAGAGGTAAAGAAAAACATTTTTAAGTGAATCATAATGTTAATAATAGCAAATATGTAGTAAGTGCTGTGTGGAGGGGATTAATTTACCCCTGCTTAGAGATATTACTAGATGACTTCATTTAGAATAATACATGTATATTGTTAAAAATGTAAACTTCCCAAAGATTAGAAATGAAAAAAGAAGTCCTATTTTCTCTTTCTTCTCCATCCCTTTCTTGAAAGGTAACTACTTTTTCTTTTCCTTTTTTTTTTTTTAAAGATTTATTTATTTATTTGAAAGAGGTACACAGAAATACAGAGAGAATCTTTCATGTGCTAGTTCACTCCCCCAAAGACGTGAATGGCTGGAGCTTCCTCTGGGTGGGTTCAGGCGCCCAAGGACTTGGGCCATTTTCTGCTGCTTTCCCAGGTGCCCAAGGACTTGGGCCATTTTCTGCTGCTTTCCCAGGTGCATTAGCAGGGAGCTAGATTGGAAGAGGAGCAGCCAGATCTCAAACTGGCATCCATACAGGATGCCAGCAATGCAGGCAGTAGGTTTACTTGCTATGCCACAACAGTGGCCCCCACTTTTTCTTTTTTTAATAAACCTATTTTTAAAAACAGTTTTATTGGGGCCAGCATTGTACCCACGTGGGAGACCAGGAAGAAAGACTCCTGGCTTTCGACCAGCCCACTTCCAGCCATTGTGGCCATTTGGGGAGTGAACTAATGGATGGAAGACCTCTCTCTGTCTTTTCCTCTCTCTGTAACTGTGCTTTTCAAATAAATAAATAATTGAGGCTTTACAATTTTTTTTATTTGAGGAGCAGAGACAAGAGAGAGAGAGAGGAAGACAGACTGTCGGAGGGCTCCCATTTACTTGTTCAGTGCTCACATGGCTGGGGCTGGGTTAGGGCCGAAGCCAGGAGCTGGGAACATAATCCAGGTCTCCCATGCGGGTGGCAGGAACCCAATTACTTGAGGTATCACTACCTCCTTGGATCCTGCATTGGCGTGAAGCTGGAGAACAGAGCTGAGTATCAAAGCTAGGTAGTCTGATGAGGTATCTGGGTGTCATAATCACTAGGATAATAAACACCTGTCCAGGAAACCACTTTTTTTTTTTTTTTTTTAAGATTTATTTTATTCATTTGAAAGACAGAGTTAGAGAGAGAGGTCTTCTGTTCTGTTGGTTTACTCCCCAAATGACCGCAATGGCCAGAGCTGAGCTGATCTGAAGCCTGGAGCTGATCTAAATACAGGTCTCCTATGTGGGTGTGGGGGCCCAAGGACTTGGGCTATCTTCCAGTGCTTTCCCAGGCTATAGAAGAGAGCTGGGTCGGAAGTGGAGCAGCTGGGACTCAAACAGGTACCCACAAGGGATGCCAGGGCTGCAGGCGGTGGCTTTAACCCACTGCTCCATAGCGCCAGCCCTGGAAACTGCTTTTTTTTAACATTACAAGATTTATAATTATCTTCATATAAAACATTTGTATAGCATGCTACCTAAACTTCTTTGGGAATAAAAATTGTCACCTTCATGAGTTAAAGATAAAACTTAATAATATAACAATGGGGGCCAGCACTGTGGTGTAGTGGGTAAAGCCGCTGCCTGCAGTGCCGGCATCCCATATGGGTGCTGGTTTGAGTTCTGGCTGCTCCACTTCCGATCCAGCTCTCTTCTATGGCCTGGGAAGCAGTAGTAGATGACCCAAGTCCTGGGGCCCCTGCATCCATGTGGGAAGACCCAGAGGAAGCTCCTGGCTCCTGGCTTCGGATCATCACAGCTTCAGCTGTTGTGGCCAATTGGGGAGTGAACCAGCGGATGGAGGACCTCTCTCTCTCTGCCTCTCCTTCTCTCTCTGTATAACTCAGACTTTCATATAAATAAATAAATATTAAAATAATAACAACATACCAGGGGGTTAATTTTTAATCCATGTCTATGGTTAGAACATACACCATTTGTTTCTTTCTTCTGGCAGCCATTGCTGTGTTGGGTAGTTCATGTTTACATTCACTCTCTCCCCCTTCCTCCAGACTGTGGCAGAGGAAGAGCAAAAAGGTTATTTACAATATCTCCTAGGCTTTTCCCCTTTGCTTTGTTTGGCTTTCATTTTGTGTGGTTTCTTTGTGTTACCAAATGTTGAGCCATGAAACTTGATAGCTTTATAATCCCGCTGTGTTTGTTTAGTTACCAGGTAGAAAAGTGTTGTCATCAGCCATCTCTCCCAGCATCACTCCTCATGAGGACCCTTCCCAGCAGTTCCTGCAGGAGAGCCTGGAAAGAGTGTACAGTCTTCAGCACCTGGACCCTCAGGGTGCCCAGGAGCTGCTAGAGTTCACCATCAGGTATGGCAACCGTCACTTTTCTCTTTCTGAGTTTGCATTGCCGTCCTGCTCTGTTTGAATGGTTTTGAATGCTGGTGTTGGTTGTTAGGCTTGATTTTCTGACTTTTGGCCTGTTTTCCCACATGGTTTTAGGAACTATTGCCATTTGGGTCTTAGTGTGGTTTCAATATATTTTTTTAAAAAAAACTCTTTGATCAGTACAAAAGAAACTTTTAAAATTTTATTTCTTGTCTATGAGTTAGGATCGATGACAGAAATGCAATGTAACAGTGGCTTATTAGGAGGAAAGTTTAATTCTCTTTCATAGACAGGAAAAATGCTGAGATGACCATTGTAAATGTAGGCTTGTTCTTGTGTCTCCATCTTCTGCACTACTTGGCTTCTGCCTAAATTTCCAAGGTCTAATCTCTATTTTCCTGCCTGTGGGACAAAGGAAAGAACAAGAAAAGGGATCATTTCCATTCCCACCCCTTGTTAGGTACACTCCAAACATTGCACACTCTAATTTTATTTGCATCCCATAGGTTAGAACTTAAGTGAGATGTAGTCTTTATTTTGGGTAACTGATGCCTGGTTAATATTTGATGACTCTTACTCAGGACGAAGGGGAGAAAAAAATACTGAAGAATAATCAACAGGTTCTGCCTGACTTTATTAGAATGATCTGAATGCTATGAAAAGAATTGAAACCCATTTGCCTTTAGTAAAAGCAGTACTGTTTGTTTTTACAACAATAGAAAAATATGTTACTATTTGTTGCTTGGTTGAGAAGTCTCCTATCAGCCGCATTCACTGACTGGATAACTTTATTCCATACTGAGAAACAAGCTATATGCTGGAAGCAGATCGCCAGATAGGGTGTTGCCCTTAGAGAGCCCATGGAAGCAAGATGGACATAGACAGTGTGGCGGTGCAGAGTAGTGCTTTCTACTTTACTCATGCGTCTCTGTCCATTGCTGCATCTTAATGTGTTGTGAAGCAGTTCTGCTGCACCATCCTTTACATTACTGACCCCATTATGTTAGGTCATGTCAGTTACTCATTCTTTCACTTTGCAACATTAACCTTGTATTTATTCTAATAGACCAGATGCCAAGGATAGAGGGAAATACAAAATGGCCTTTGTTCTCAAGGTACTCAGTGTGTGTTACAGGACCTAGTGAGAAATCATTGATGGACTAAATGCTATAGTGGAGAGAAGTTTAGTGCTGTGCAGAAACATGTGACTGTGATTCGTCAACGTGGTAGTGGTCAGGGATGCCTCGCAGAGAAGAAGACCCAGTACGAAATGATGACTGAGCTTGTGAGTTTGGTAGTGCAGGTAATGGGGGGAAATTCTGAAGAGCCAGGAGATGAGGGAGAAAGGTCTCCTTGCAAAGCTGCAGTGGTGCAGTTTAGGATTGAGTGAATGGGGCTTTCAAAGTAGATTGATGTGGGTTCAAGTGTCAGCTCAACTACTTAATAGTTGTGTGTCCTTAGGCAAGTTAATTGCTCAGGGTTCATTTGTAGGGAAAAAAAAAAGGCTTTTCCTAATTTCAGCAGAGAAAAATGTGTGACAGTATGTTATATGACTCACATAATAATTGGGAAGGCTAAAGATACAGTCCAGGTTGAATTTCCAGAGCTTATTAGACCACCAAAAGAGCTGGTATTCCTTCTATAATGAAGAAGCTACCTTTGAGTCAGGATGCTAGTGATCTAGCTGTTGGCTTCACAACCTTGTCTTGTACTCTGTCTCCCACTTGAATTCATTCCTTATGCACAACTTGGGAGATTGTGTTTGACTGGTTGTGTTTGATGGTTCGTATGTGGAAATTAGCTCAAGGGAGTCTGGGAACTGTAGTTTTTCTATTTGTTTTTAAAGATTTATTTATTTATTTATTGAAAGAGTTATAGAGAATGGAGGAGAGACAGATTTTTCATCCATAGGTTCACTCCCCAAATAGCTGCAACTGCTTGACCCAGCCACACTGAAGCCAGGAGCCAGTACCTTTATCCGGTCTCCCATGTGGGTACAGAGTCCCAAGCACTTGGGTCATCTTCTGCAGCTTTCCCAGGTACATTAACAGGCAGCTGGATTAAAAGTGGAGCAACTGGGATGCAAATCGGTGTCCATATGGGATGCTGGCATCATAGGTGTTGGCTTAACCTGCTGTACCACAACTCCTGCCTCCAAAGGAAATGCAGTTTTTAACTTCACAGGCAATGCAGTCCAGGAAGTTACATTAAGTGAAGATTGGAATATGTGTGAGGAAGCCAGATTCACATAGCCCAAATACCAAATTTCTGTGTGTTTTAGATCACTCATTAGGAGACTTGGTAACTAGTTGGACATTGGTGGGAGTGAGAAATTGGGAGTAGTAAATGAATAGTCTGGTAATCCACTAACCCTATAAAATGTCACAGCCTGTTCTAGGCTCCTGTGGCAGTGCCATGGGGCAGGCTGAGCTGGGCTGAGAATGCCTGCCCCTGTGTATATGATTGTGGGTGGCACCAAGGGCACAAGTAGCCTCCTGCACCGCTTCCAGGGGGTGTTCCTTGCTGTGCTCTGGGAAGGCTGCACAGAGGCCTGTAGGGGCTCTGCCACTCTGAGGTTCCTTCAGCTACTCTGGCAGCAGGGCCTCCAGTGGCTCTGAGCCCCTAGTAGGGCAAGTTCACAAGGTCCCAGCGAGCAAGCTTTTTCAGTCTGACAAGAGAATACTGCTATGGACTTAATATCATAAACTGTTGGAGGCAATACTGCCAGTAATGATGCAGAACTCAAAAGAGTGAAAGCTTGTTGCATAATGATTGGAATGACACAAATCCTTATCAAGTTGGAACCTGGTAAAGAAAGCCAAGTAGTGTGAAGAAGCTGCATTGGCTACACAGGCTAAGGCTCAGTGATATTCTAAGTGATGAAGTGTTCGTGTGATACCATCTCTGTGATCAGTAACAATAAAGATTTCAAACACATGAAGTGATTTTAGCACCATAATTTGTTCTCTTGCTCAGTCATATTTTTGATATTTATTGAGTGTTTGCAGTGTGACAGAAGCAGTGCTTTAAATATGGTCTGCTGCCTGCTTTTGTGAGTAAGATGTGATTGAAAGACAGCCACACTCATTCATTCAGGTATTGTCAGTGGCTGTTTCCATGCTATGATAGGGCATTGAATACTTGCCACAGAGACCATATGGCTGGTAAAGCCCATAATATAGATTCTCTGACCTTTACAGAAAAAGTGTCCTGCCTCTTCATAAGCTGTGGACAGTCCTTGGCTCTGTGAGCCAAGATTCTGTTCCTTGCTGCATCACTTGTGAAGTGATACCTCAGTCATATTCTCTTTTTCTTCGCCTTCACCAATTTACTTAGTTTTAGAGGCCACTAAATGAAGTGTTGGCCCTGAGCCCAGAAGAATAAGCTCTACTTCTTGAGTCATCCCACCTAAATAAACATTGAGGTTTTGTCCTTGACAGTTTTATCCTGTTGGCACTAAACCGAGTGCAAAATGCACAAAAACGACAATTTGGTCAGCAGCTGAATTGCTGGATGCTAATAGGTGATCAGTAAACACCTGTTGATTTGAATGCCTTCGGGTCTGGGTTTTATGAGGTGACAGTCCTGCTGGGCTTTGGGCTGAGCTTTTGGCAGACCAGTATTCTCATGCTGTGCTCAGCCCTGGGCACTGTGTTTCTAGCCTGAGCGTGTTCTTAGGAGGGTCATCAGAATAATGAAAGATCAGGAAAGGAAAGTAGATGGAGCCGTAGCTATTGAAGGCCTACTGTACTTTACAGACATTATTACAGTTATGAAGTAATCTGCTAGGAAGTGGCAGAACCAGAATTTGAATTTAGCTCTGACTCTAAAATTGATGTTTTATGATACGCAGCACTGAAGGGGATTTAGGTTGGATTTACTTATAAAATAGCAAGAGCCTTTCCAATGTAATCAACTGCAACTGGAGGATCTAAATTTTAGAAGAAAATTCAGGGGCCCATGCTGTGACACAGTAAGCCACAGCCTGCAACAACCAGCATCTCATGTAGATGTGATTTTTGTTTTTAAAGATTTATGTGTTTATTTGAAAGGCAAAGTTACAGAGAGAGAAAGAGACAGAGACTACTGGTTCACTCCCCAAATGGCCACAATGGCCAGGGCTGGACCAGGTTAAAGCCAGGAGCCAGGACCTTCCACTGGGTCTGCCACAAGGATGCAGGAGCCCAAACACTTGAGCCATCTTCTGCTTCTTTCCCAGGCGTACTAGCAGGGAACTGGATCAGCATTGAAGCTGCCGGGACTTGAACTGCCACCCATATTTGATGCCAGCATTGCAGGCAGAGGCCTAATTCACTATGCCACAATGCTGGCCCCAGATGTGATTTTTTAAAATTAATATTTATTTGTTTGTTTGAAAGGAAGAGCAACAGAGAGAGATACTTTTCTTCTGCTGGTTTACTTCCCAAATGGCTGCAACAGCCAAGACTGGGTCACATTGAAACTAGGAGCCAGGAACTACATTCTGGTCTCCCACCTGGTGGCAAGTACCCAAGCACTTAAGCCATCTTCCCAGGCACATTAGCAGTTAGCTGGATTGGAAGCCAAGCATCTGGTACTCAAGCTGGCACTCCAATATGGGATGCTGGTGTTGTAAGTGGCTGCTTAACCCACTGCACCACCACAGCAGATGCGATGTTTTGTGAGGTTCTGCTGCCCTTCATTAGAAGAGCTGTTATCTGTCAAATGCCATTGTATACCCACTCCTCAAAATTCACTGAATTTGAAGTCAGACATTGGGAATTATCACAGTTTTACAAGGAGTGAGCTATAATTTGCAGTTGGCTTGTTCACTTACTGTAAGGTTTCTGAGTATCCAGCACATTCTCTGTGATGTGAGCACTCCATGGTAAATAAAGACAGCCAGATAAAAACGGAGCTTACATGAGTTGGCATAGGGTGCTCTAGAAGAATGAGAGGGGCAGGCATCCTTCTTTGGATGGGGTAAGCTTTGACCTGAAGAACGAGTAAGAATTAGCCAAGTGAAGAAGGGATAGGGCATGATCAAGGACTAGGAACGGGAAAGTTTCAGACCAGAACATGGGTGTTTCTAGCTTTTCATCACACTGCTCTGTATCTGGTTAACAGTTTGTATGAAGTAATACTTCCTAGAATAATGAGATTTGAAACATAAAGAATCCTGGGCCCTCAACTCCCTCATCTGTAAACTAAGGATGCTGTGTATCTCAGAGGACTGTTATGAAGTTTGTTATAATAATATGTGAAGAGCATTTTGAGGAAGGCAGTTACGAAAGTGTTCACTGGGCATTTGTGAACTTTTCCTTTAAAATCTAGATCCAACTGTGGCTCACCTGACACATTGGAAAGGACTAGCTGTTTTATAAGTAAATCCAATCTAAATTTTCTGAGTGTAATCATGTTTAACATTCACTATTGAATGCTACAGTCACTTTTCTGCTGTTTCTCAAGAGATTTAATGACCTCCACTTTCCACACACCGGTTCACTCCACAGATAGGCCAGGCTGAAGCCGGGAGCCAAGAGCTTAATTTGGGTCTTCCACGTGGGTGCAGAGGCCCAAGCATTTGTGCCACCTTCTGCTGCCTTTCCCAGGCCATTAGCAGGGAGCTGGATTGGTAGTGGAGCAGCCGGGTCATAAACTGGCACACAAATGTGATGCCATCCATTTGAGGCAGCAGCTTTACCTGCTACTCCACAACACCATCCCCAATTATATCACTTTTGAAGTGTTCCACAATAAAGTTGTAATTTTGGTGTAAAACAGCTCACTTTAATCTGGAATCGATACGACTTCATTTCTGGAATCATTAGAAATACACTTCTTTTCTTACGGGAAGTCATTTATACACTAAGTAACTATAAGGACCGTGGGATTTCATGCTTGAATTCTTTAGAATCCTCCTTTTGTTGTTCAGCTTTTTTTTTTTTTTTTTTTTTTTTTTTTTTTTTTTATTTGACAGAGTTAGAAAGTGAGAGAGAGAAACAGAGAGAAAGGTCTTCCTTCTGTTGGTTCACCCCCAAAAAGGCCGCTGCGGCCGGTGCTGCGCCGATCCGAAGCCAGGAGCCAGGTGCTTCTTCCTGGTCTCCTCTGCGAGTGCAGGGGCCTAAGCACTTGGCCATCCTCCACTGCCTTCCTGGGCCACATCAGAGAGCTGGACTGGAAGAAGAGCAACCGGAACTAGAACCCAGCGCCCATATGGGATGCGGTGCCACAGGCAGAAGATTAACCAAATGAGCCACGGCGCCGGCCCCCTGTTCAGCTTTTAATGTCACTAAGGAACATTGCCAGTTTTGTAGTCTGGGAACTAGTCACTAATTAAAGAGGTAGAAATAAATGCTTGTAACTTACAATCATCTAGGTGCAAGGATGAATATAGATTTTTTTTTAAAGATTTATTTATTTAGGCTGGCACTGCGACTCACTAGGCTAATCCTCCGCCTGTGGCACCGGCACCCTGGGTTCTAGTCCCAGTTGGGGTGCCAGATTCTGTCCCAATTGCTCCTCTTCCAGTCCAGCTCTCTGCTATGGCCCAGGAAGGCAGTGGAGGATGGCCCAAGTGGTTGGGCCCTGCACCCGTATGGGAGACCAGGAGGAAGCACCTGGCTCCGGGCTTTGGATCGGCACAGCGCGCTGGCCGTAGTGGCCATTTGGGGGGTGAACCAACGGAAGGAAGACCTTTCTCTTTGTCTCTTTCTCTCTCACTAACTCTGCCTGTCAAAAAAAAAAAAAAGATTTATTTATTTATTTGAAAGAGTTATACAGAGAGAGAAGGAGAGGCAGAGAGAGAGAGAGAGAGAGAGAGAGGTCTTCCATCAACTGGTTCACTCCCCAAGTGGCTGCAACAGCTAGAGCTGCACCGATTCGAAGCCAGGAGCTTTTTCCTGGTCTCCCATGTGGGTGCGTTGGGCCATCTTCTACTGCTTTCCCAGGCCTCAGCAGAGAGCTGGATTGGAAGTGGAGCAGCCGCACTTGAACCGCTTCCCATATGGGGTGCTGGCACTGCAGGTGGCGGCTTTACCTGCTATGCCACAGCACTGGCCCCAATATAGCTTTTAAAAAAATCACCTGGACCTTGGGACCGGCACTGTGGCATAGCAGGTAAAGCCACTGCCTGCAGCTAGCATCCCATATGGGCACCAGTTGGAGCCCTGGCTGCTCCACTTCCTATCCATCTCTCTGATATGGCCTGGGAAAGCAGTAGAAGATGGCCCACATCCTTGGTCCCCTGCAGCGATATGGGAGACCTAGAAGAAACTCCTGGCTTCTGATTTCAGATCCAAATGGCCCAGATCTGGCGGTTGCAATCATTTGGGGAGTGAACCAGCAGATGGAAGACCTCTCTCTCTCTCTCTCTCTCTCTGCCTCTGCCTCTCTGTAACTCTGCCTTTCAAATAAATAAATAATTATTTTATAAAAAAAAATCACTTAGACCTTGTAGTATTTTTTTTCTAAGATTCCATGGTGGCTGGCTCCGCAGCTCAATAGGCTAATCCTCTGCCTGCAGTGCTGGCACACCGGGTTCTAGTCCCAGTCGGAGCGCCGGATTCTGTCCTGGTTGCTCCTCTTCCAGTCCAGCTCTCTGCTGTGGCCTGGGAGCACAGTGGAGGATGGCCCAAATCCTTGGGCCCTGCACCCACATGGGAGATCAGGGGAGGCACCTGGCTCCTGGCTTCTGATCAGCGCAGTTCGCCAGCCGCAGCGGCCATTGAAGGGTGAACCCATGGAAAAAGGAAGACCTTTCTTTTTCTCACTGTCTACTCTGCCTGTCCAAAAATAAAATAAATAATAAATAAATAAATAAATAAAAATTTCCATGTTGTGTCACCAAGCTACTAAGAGATACTAAATTACTAGTTATAAATTTAATGTTTAGAGATTGTGAGAGATTGAAAGTAATGTGTAGCCATAAGTAACTTTTGATTTGCATATCCAGTGTTTTTTCCCCATCTTTAGCATATTTAAAAAAATAACCAATTCAGCATATTGTGTAAGTATCAAAAAAACCCACAGTATACGTATACTTGTTTTCTCCTAATTATTTAAAAAAATAACTCTTTTTTTTTTTTTTTTTTTTTTTTTTTTTTTTTGCATCACAGATTCAGGGTTGCTCTAGTGTGTGTTCCCAGGAGGGCTCTTTTGCCTTGCCATATCACATCTGTAGAAATGTGAACCAGTGTATCTGGGTTTATGTTATTAACAATTTTTTTCCTTTATTTTTCATTTTTGTTTTGAAAGGCAGAGAATGAGAGACAGACAGATAGATGAAGAGCCACCCTGTGGCTCACTCCCACAACAGCCAGGGCTGGGCTAGGCTGTAGTCAGGAGCCTACAACTCAATCCAGATCAGGAGTGGAGGAGCCAGATCTCGAACCAGGCACTCCAGTATGGAGTGTGGGTACCCCAAGTGGTGAACTAACCACTGAGCCTAATGTCTTCTTCTGCAACTGGTTTTAAATCAGTTGTGGTCTCACCTGTATTGTATGTATTCATAAATAATGAAAAGAGTTAACTAATAAATAGATAAAAAGAAGACTTTTGGAGCCGGACAGACCTGGGTTCATGTCCTTTTTTTGCCACTTATTTATTCTGTGACCTTGTGCAAGCCACTTAAACTCTGGTCTTCAGTTTCGTGCTCAGTGAGATGGGATTAACTGCAATTCATGTTGTGACGATTAAATGAGCACAAATTTGGAGATGCATAGCACAGTCCAGTGTACATAGAAGGTGCTCTTTTTATCTTTCTCCTTTAGTAAGTGATGGTCTTCCAATGTATGCCTAGATTGAAGCTTCCTGAGGACTGTGAGCATAAAGAGATTCAGAGATGAAACACTATCACACAGAGGACTTTGCCCAGGGCTAGCAAGTTTCCATGTAGGTTTGCCTAGTAGTTCAGATTTCCCATGGCGATTGGATTGGGTTGCATCTTGTTCTATGTAATTCAGAGCAATTGCTACAATCCAGAGACAGGAGAATGACTTAATATCTGAAGGCAGTTACTATATAGTCAGCTGGTCAGTGTTTTTTTTTTTTTTTTTTAAGTATTTATTTGTGTTCATCCACTTGAAAGGCGCAGTCTCACACACACACACACACACACACACACACACACACACCCTTCTTGTTTACTCCACAAATGGCTACAACAGCCAGGGCTGTGTCAAGGTGAAACCAGGAGCCTGGAACCTCATTTGAGTCTATCACATGGATGACAGGGGTCCTATTTGAGCCAATATCTGCTGCCTCCCAGGATGCATTAGCAGGGAGCAGATCAGAAGCAGAACAGCTGGGACTTGAACTGGCACTCAGTATGGGATGCAGGTGTCCCACGCTGCAGCTTAATCTACTGTGCCACCACATCTGTTCCTGTTCTCTATAATTATTCAGAAAGCAGAATCTTCCTGGGTGATGAAATGCTTCAGAAATAGAATGGTTCAGGCGTGTCTCTTGTGAGAAACACCAGAGAAGTCAGAGAGAGACAAGCTTACCACCAAATTCACATTTTTCATGTTGTTAGTTTGTTCAGGGTTTGTGAGCAGGCATTCCGGGACAAACTGAGGCCACTCAGTCTCATGAGAGAGATGATATCTACCATAGTCACAATTTCTTCTGTCAATTTGGGGATAATTTGCTCTGTGCTCCTCTGTGGGACATCTCTTTTGTAGCATCAAGGCCCCCTAGGAAACAGATTATTATCATAAAATTGCCAACTGTGCATAAGATTAGAGGGAGGGGCTTAGTCCAATGGACAGCTTTGTCCAGGCTACTATGAAACCTGAAAAAGCTTCCCTGGTGACCCACAGTTATTGTTTCTATACAGAATTTTGATGTTGCCATGAAAAATAATGAAGTTTCCTGTGAATGGTGAGATGGATTGTTAGGTAACATATATGCACAAGAAAAAAAAAAGCAGTACAAAGGAACTGGTAATGGTGGTTGTCTCTGGGAAGGTGTACAGTGGAGTAGGACACCAGAATGCAGATATAAGGAGGAGGACTATTTTGATTATTTACTTCTTAGTATCTTTTGAATCCTGTATCTTATAATTCTATACTTTGGATATATATTACCTATTCAAAAACCAATATTGCTAACCCCCAAACAACTATTTTAGTGTCCCTTCTCATTTCTTTTCCACAGGCAGATACGTTTTTATATGGATGCAGTCATTGTGTCTACCTATCTTCAGTTAGGTAATGAATAAATTTTTTTTGATAGGCAGAGTTAGACAGTGAGAGAGAGACAGAGAGAAAGGTCTTCCTTTTTCCGTTGGTTCACCCCACAAATGGCCACTACGGCCGGCACGTTGCGCCAATCCGAAGCCAGGAGCCAGGTGCTTCCTCCTGGTCTACCACGCGGGTGGCGGGCCCAAGGACCTGTGCCGTCCTCCACTGCACCCCCAGACTACAGCAGAGAGCTGGCCTGGAAGAGGAGCAACCAGGACAGAATCCGGCACCCCAACTGGGACTAGAATCTGGTGTGCCGGTGCCGCAGGGGGAGGATTAGCCTAGTGAGCCGCGGTGCCGGCTGGTAATGAATACATTTTAATGAATTTATTTGAGACACAGAGAGATAAAGACATAGAGATTGAAATAATAGAATAAGGGAGAATGTGAGTGAGCATTCCCATCCAGTAATTTACTTCTCAAATGCCTTCTATAGCTGGGGGCACTGAAGCTGGGTGCCAGAAACTCAGCTCAAGTCTCCCACAGAGGTGGCAGGTAGTGAAATTACTTGAGTCCTCACTTCTGCTTCCCAGGGTCTGCGTTAGCTGGCAGCTGGGATGAGGAGCTGGGGTCCAGTATGGAGCCCAGGCACTCTGATGTGGGATGGGAACTTCTTAACTGCTGGCTTAACCAGCAGACTAAACTCCAACCCTCAATAAGAATATTTTAAATTAAAGGCGTCAGAAAACTTTATCTGAAACTAGCGTACAATGGTTATTTATTTCTTGCTATCATCTAATGTTTATATCTCCCTACCCTAAAATTTGTATGTTGAAAGCCTAACCCCTAAGTGATGGCAATAGGAAGTGGTGTCTTAAGGAAGTAATTTGGTACTGCGATAGAGCCCTCATGAATGGGGTTTGTTCTCTTATATATTTATCCCTTGCAGCATGTGATGACACAGTTAGAAGCTGCGCTCTGTGAGGAAGTGGGTCCTCACTAGACACCGAATTGTGGGTGCCTTGATTCTCAGGCTCTGGAACTGTGAGAAATGAATTTTTGCTGTTTTTAAGCCAAACAGCCTGTGGTATTTTGTTGTATAGCAGTTTGAACAGACTAAGACATTTACTTGTATGACCAGAAATTAGAATGGAATGATCAGGTAGCTTATTTGTGTCATTATGGACCCAGTTCTGTCTCTGGATTTTTCTTAGCCTTAGAATTGGTTTTATCCCAAGGCTTTTTTTCCTTGTGGAGTTATGGCTGTCAGTGGCAATTAGGGCTTTAAGCACGCTTGCTCAGTCCTGTGAGACAGAGTCGGACACATCAGCCTGCTCCAAGCATTGAATGTAAGTCCCTCCAGTTAGACTGATAAGGCCAATTTAGGTCACATAACCAGAGGGATGATATACACTAATTGCCTTCAGCTGATCAGACTCTACCTGCATTTGGGCTTGGATACATGTTCCCTGGAATGAAGTCAAGGTTCAGTTTGTCGTGAAGAAGTATAGAATGACTAACTGGCTAGGCAACCAACAGAGTGTACCACAAATATCTTTTTTGAAATTCTATTTAAAATTTTCATGGAGAAAAAATTTGTTCATTGTATAAGAAGCTTGGACAATAAAGTGTAGTTTGGAGAAGGCATTAAAAAGCACCAATAAGGGGCTGACACTGTGACATAGCAGGTAAAGCCGCTGCCTGTAGTGCCGGCATCCCATCTGGGTGCTGGTTGGAGTCCTGGCTGCTCCACTTCTGATCCAGCTCTCTGCTAATATGCCTGGGAAAACAGTAAAAGATGGCCCAAATGCTTGGGCTCCTGCACACATGTAGGAGACATGGAGGAAGCTCCTGGATCCTGGCTTCGAATCGGCCCAGCTCCAGCTGCTGCAGCCATTTGGGACGTAAACCAGAAGATGGAAGACCCCCCCCCTCCCGCCCCCGCCTCTGCCTCTGTAACTCTGCCTTTTAAATAAATACATAATTCTTAAAAAATAAATAAAGCAAAGACCCTTCTGCCCTCTCCCTGCAGCATGACACCATGAAGCCCCCTTACTTAGTTCATGAACATTCACCCCTACAATAGTTGAGGCATTCCTTTCAGAAATGATTGGAGGGTACTTCAGAATGGAAAATGGAATTAAAACACAAGTTTGTTTAAAAAAAAATCTATAAACCATTTTAGTATACTTTTCTTCTATGCATAGTTTTTACGTAGTTGAGATCTTAAGCTCTCTTGTCAATTTGTATTTTAATAACTTTAGTGTTATTGACTGGATGTGCCATAACTTAACAGTTCATCTACCGTTGGATATTTAAGTAGTTACTGAGTTGTTACTATAATAGTTTACAGAGCAGTGAATATTATGGGGCATAAACTTTAATTTCTGTTGAATATTTCCCTTTTAACTGCTTTTCAGTGTAAAGCTGCTGATGAAAATAATTTACTATTTGTGTGACTTTTATTACAGAGTATAATTGTGCTTTCCAAAATATTTTATCAGTTTAAACTGCTATCAAAGTGTGAGTGAACCAATTTCATTGTAACCATTCTATCATTTGGTGTTGTCTTTTAGAAACTTGCGAGCAATTTGCCAGATGTAAAGTGAGAAAATGCTTTTGACTTAAATCTTTAAGTTGGGTTGCCCTTACCCTGTGTTTGGCCTGGATTTTATTTCCTGTAGGGATCTGCAAAGACTTGGAGAACTTCAGTCTGAATTGGCAGGAGTAGCTGACTTTTCTGCTACCTATCTTCGATGTCAACTACTCCTCATCAAGGTTGGTTTGGAGCCATTATTTTGATGATTGTGATGAATGTACTTTAAAGACTTTAGCAGGGTTTGAGGTCATAAAGTGTAGAAATTTCTGGTCTCTTGTGACCACTTATTAATGGAGAAATTACGGCCTTCAATGTAATTGTATTTGTCTCTAATTAAAAAAATGTTAACTCCTACAGGATTTGTTTAAATTTTGGGAGATTCCTTTTGTTATTACAGAATTAGAGCTTATTGGATAATCATTTTAATTGGAATTACAAGGATTTTAAACTGTTTCATATAATTTGATTGGCAGAGGACTTATATGAACTTTTATACTTGAAATGTTCATTTCACTTTGTCAAAGTTAAAAGTTTAGTTTCATTATTTTTTCCCTTAGTTTCATTATTCTTAAAGGGACTAAGCTGCTAGCTTTTCATATTAAGTAGATTTTTTTTTTTTTTTTTTGGACAGGCAGAGTGGACAGTGAGAGAGAGAGACAGAGAGAAAGGTCTTCCTTTGCCGTTGGTTCACCCTCCAGTGGCAGGATCCGATGGCAAGAGCCAGGAGCTAGGTGCTTTTCCTGGTCTCCCATGGGGTGCAGGGCCCAAGCACCTGGGCCATCCTCCACTGCACTCCCTGGCCACAGCAGAGGGCTGGCCTGGAAGAGGGGCAACCGGGACAGAATCCGGCGCCCCGACCGGGACTAGAACCTGGTGTGCCGGCGCCGCTAGGCGGAGGATTAGCCTAGTGAGCCGCAGCACCGGCCACTAAGTAGATTTTTCAAAAAAGATTTACTTATTTAGTTTTATTGGAAAGTCAGAGTTACACAGAGAGAGGAGATGTAGAGAGAGAGAGAAGTCTTCCATCTGCTGGTTCACTCCACAGTTGGCTGTAATGGCCAGAGCTGCGTCGATCCAAAGCCAGGAGCTTCTTCCAGGTCTCCCACGCGGGTGCAGGGGCCCAAGGACTTGGGCCATCTTCCACTGCTTTCCTGGCCATAGCAAAGAGCTGGATCGGAAGTGGAGCAGCCGGGACTCAAACCGGCGCCTATATGGGATGCCAGCACTGCAGGCAGTGGCTTTATCTGCTACACCACAGCGCTGGCCTGAATACTAAATATATTACACATACAGATACACACAGTTGGTACGCAAGAAGCTATTTAGGTTTGCATTGTTAAAAGCTGATTAATTTTACTACTGTTAATTTAAGTATAATTTATTCAGTGGTTAAAATGAGGTTGTCAGCGAAGAAACTTAAAAACAGCCTCATTCATGTAACTGCTTAAGTATAAACTACATTTTGTGTTCTATGTTCATACACTTTTAATGATCAATGTTTCTGTCTAAATATAAGTGGTGATGTTTAGGCTTTGTTTCTGTTTAATAAGGCTTTTTACCATTGGCTAAATGAAAGAATGTATCTTTTTAAAAGAGATTTATATTCTGTAAATAAAAATTGGTTGAAACAATAAAAAAAAGAACTGAAAAAAAGTCCTGATTAAAGTAGTTCAGTAGTTTTCAGTGTCTACATCAGAGTTTGCTGTAAATTTAGGCTCAGAACTTAGGAAAGCCCTCCCTTCTTACTTGTAAAGCTTTATCTTGGCTTTAGTTCAAAAGGTTCTTAGTCTTCAAAATGATTCATGGTATTTGACCAAAGTCAGAATAAATGAGGGAGTCAGAAATTACCTTCCCTTATAAAAGTGGGAGTTTATGCTAAATATATATGTAGGGTCTTGCAGGTCTGTATATCTATTTGAATTGAAGGTGAGTATATACAGCTGAGGAAAGTTGGGATTGAAATAGCATTTCTTTCAAATGTTTCTTTGTAACCACCATCATAGGCGAGATAAGGAACATTTCCATTCACCCTCCAGTGTTCCTTCTTTCCCCTTTGCAAAGCTGTTCGGCTTTTCAAAGTTCTGTGAACCAGGGCTAATAATAACTCTGCCCTTGGTGTGAAGCAATGTGTGTGAAAGCCCTTGGCCCAGTGTCTGGTATGCAGTGAGGGCCATGAAAATGTGGTCTTCTGTGACTTGTTTTCTTTCCCAAAGAAATACAAGATGGCCTTTGAAAGCAATCCACTTTTCCACAGTTGGAAAAGAGAAGAGATCACTCCTAAGAGGAATACAGAACTATGTTGATTATTGTCAAGGGATAGCAGAGTAGGTAAGGTGCTGAGCCCTAGAAATTGAGGCAGACATATGTTAACAGGGGAAGAGTTAAATAAGTAGTGGCACAACTTCTCAACAGGATATTCTATATCCAATAATGATCTTTATGGAGAATTAGAACATAGTATGACAAAATAGTTAAAGTATAATGTAGTGTACTGTCTGACTTAATATACTCTATATATATATATATTAAGAAATGATTAGAAGTAAATATTCAAAAAGTTCTGTAGTCTGCAGTTAAGTTCTACTGCTGTCCACTATGCTGGCACTACTAGATACATGTGACTTTTGAGCACTTCAGATGTTGTTATTTCAAACTGATAAGTGCTGTAATAACAGAACATAGGGGATTTCTTAGTCTTAGTATGAAAAAATGTAAGCTATCTCATTAATCATTTCAAAAGTATTAAGTGGTAAAATGATAATAGTTTGAATATACTAGTTTAAATAAACTATATTTAAAATTAATTTCACCCATTTATTTTGCCTTTTAAAAAATGAGGTTGCTGGAAATTTTTAAATTATATATGTGCCTCACGTTATATTTCTATTGTATAGAGTTAGTTTAGATTTCCTTTTTACTTTTTTTAAGATTTATTTTTATTTATTTGAAAGGCAGAATGACAGAGAGGGAGAAATAGAGAAAGAGACCTTCCATCTGCTAGTTCACTCCCCAAATGGCTCCAACAGCTGGGCCTGGGCCATACTGAGCCAGGAGCCAGGATCTCCATCTGAGTCTCCCACATGGCTGTCAGAGGCCCAGGGACTTGGGCTATCTCCCTCTGCTTTCCCAGGGACATCGAAAGTGGAGTGCTGAGACGCGAATCAGTGCTCTGATAGGGAATGCTGCAGTCACAGGGATGGCTCCAGTGTAGGTTTTTCTGTTTTGTCATTCAGTTGCATCTGTCATTAGATGACATGAGAAAATAAGAGAGTACAGCAGAGGTTTTAGAGGAGAGATGAGGTCATAAGGATGGATAAGTGAGGAGAGATTTGGAAGGTAGAATCTGTGGCTGTTTATGATAATTTTGAGTATAGAGGGATTGAGAGAGGGAAGATCTGGGAAAGTTACTTTTTTCTACTTTGGGTTTGTTGGCAAGGTAACAGGGCTACATAAAGCAGAATGAGTGTGGGAGCAAAGGAAAAGAAGCAAAGTCAAGAAGAAGAGTCTAAATGGCTCAGGTTAGTTCAGTGACTGGGAAGAAGGGAGGCCAGCCTCCACATTCTGCTCAGGTTCTGTGGCTCCTGCACTTCGCGCTCCTGCCAGGTGCGAGCTGAGGTGCAGGGCCTTTGGACTAGCAGCTGGATCAAATGGGCAGGAGCTGATTTAGCCCAAACTATTGGTCCCCTTTTTCTCCTTAAAATGTAGAGCTTATTGGCTTAAATGAATGATTGAGAGGAAGTTCTGATCAAGGTAGATTTTCAAAGCAAAACAAAGATGTAAATCTCAGATGTTATGAAGAGGCTTCCATAAATGCATGGAACATGGAATAAAAAGATGATGTTATCTTCTGTCCTGATCGGGCTGGGTAGGCTCTGCAGGAGAAGCTGTGGAATGTGGCTGCCCCTTTATATTTGAAGCAGAGTGATTTGGCCTCAGCAGCAGCAAAACAGGTAAGTTTATTGATACCTCCTTAAATATAGGTCTTTGTCTAGGATTTATCTATTCCAAGGCAAAGGCAGTGTCCCTCCTGGGATTCCAGGCCTCTGCAGGGGTCTCCCTGATTTCAGATTATGACGGAACTTAGTGATAGGAAAATAACAGAATTAGAGCATGGGGTACAGGTTTTGGAGTCAGGGGCCTAGATTGTAATCTCAGGTCCACTTGAATTTGTTGGGTAATATGTAGTATAACTTACCTTCCCTGGAATTTTCTTCCTCTGTTACATGTGGCAGTTGAATTCAGTGATTTCTAAGATTCTTTTGTGTTCTCATTAAAATTTCATAAATGCTATTATGAATCTTTCATCTAAAAATACGGTTTATCTCGTTTTGAAGTTGTTTATAGTTTTAGCTTGTACCATCTCTTGAATGTTGAAAAGTCTTTAAGTTTTTGCTTAGTTCATTATATAGCATTTAATTTAAATTCTTTTGAGTTTATTTTTTGCTAGTCCTGAGCAGTTCACCTTCATTTTTTTTTTTGTTTGTTTTTTGTTTTTAAGATTTATTTATTTGGCTGGTGCTGCGGCTCAATAGGCTAATCCTCTGCCTGTGGTGCCGGCATCCCAGGTTCTAGTCCCGGTCGGGGTGCTGGATTCTGTCCCGGTTGCTCCTCTTCGTGTCCAGCTCTCTGCTGTGGCCCGGGAGTGCAGTGGAGGATGGCCCAAGTGCTTGGGCCCTGCACCCCATGGGAGACCAGGAGAAGCACCTGGCTCCTGCCTTCGGATCAGTGCGGTGTGGCAGCCATTGGGGGGTGAACCAATGGAAAAGGAAGCCCTTTCTCTCTGTCTCTCTCTCTCACTGTCCAATCTGCCTGTCAACAACAACAACAAAAAAGATTTATTTATTTGAGAGGTAGAGTTACAGACAGAGAGAGGGAGAGAGAGAAAGGTCTTCAATCAGCTGGTTTACTCCCCATGTGGCTGTAACAGCTGGAGCTGGGCTGATCCGGAGCCAAGAGCTTCTTCTGGATCTCCCATGTGGGTGGAGCAGCCCAAGCACTTGGGCCATCTTCTACTGCTTTCCCAGGGCATAGCAGAGATCTGGATTGGAAGTGGAGCAGCTAGGACTGGAACCCGCACCCATATATGATGTTGGTACCTCAGGCTTAGCCCATTATGCCACTGCTCCGGCCCCTCACCTTCATTCTTAGGTACTGGGACTTGGTGAGCTCCTGTGAATCATGTCTTTTAGACAGTGAGTCTGCATATGACGCAGTGATTATGAGCCTGTAGGAAGCTAATGATGGCAGCTGTGAGTGTTACATTACACTTCACTAAATGATTTCAAGTCTATTATAAATGATCCTTACAGTAATCCCACTAGACAGGAATAAGTATTAAGTGCATTTCATCAATAAGGCTGTTAAAGCTCAGCAATGTTAAATTTGTAGCAAAATCAGGACTTAGTACCCAGAATCCTCGGATACTCCTGATCTCTTACCGAGTTTAGATTCTCTCTCAGACCTGATATGTGTTTTACTGTTGGGGAGAGGTGGAATTTAATGACTAGAATCCAGAATGAGGCATGCTGGCACGAGTGGGATAAGGGTTCAGCAGTTTGGAAAGAAGAGAGCAAGGTAATTACCATTGTTACACACCAGATACTGTGCTAAACACTTTGCAAATCCCATTTCCTACTTAAAAAAAAAAGTTTATTTATTTAAAAGTTTCTACTTACTTGAAAAGCAGGGAGACAGAATAAGAGAGAGACAGAGACACAGAAAGAGGTAGAAATCCTCCATCCACTGGATGACTTCCCAAATTTGGAACAGCTGATTCTGGGCCAGGCCAAAGCCGAGAGCCTGGAACTCCATCATCTCACATGAGGATGGCAGGTACCTAAGAACTTGAACCATCATCTGCTGCCTTCCAGAGGCACATGAGCAGACTCGGAAACAGAAGTGGGACTTGATCCCAGACACTTTGATATGGGATTTGGGCATTCTAAGTGGTGGCTTAGCCCACTGTGCTTCTATGCCTACTCTCCCTACTTCACTCCCAATCTGATACTTTAAATGTTTTATGATGTTTCTGCTGTTTCTTCCCTTTTTACAGAAAGGGAGAACTGAGGCACTATATAATTAAATGTCTTGGGGTCATTTCTGTAATCCTAAGGCTTTCAAAGGCAGCAAGCACAGAGGGAAAAGAGAAGCATCTTTTGGCTAGAAAGAACTGATTCGGATAAAATTGAGCTGGAATTTTACAACTTGATCTGGGCTCACAGACACTGTTTTTTGTACTTGTTCCCTCTCCAAAGTCTGTCAGAGCAAGCTTATAGAATGGTCTACCTGGATGACTAACATGTGGCTAACATGTCCTGAGACTTAGTTCTTGGAAGACTATTTCTTGGGTTTCTGTACGTAGTACCTGTAAACAAACAGTTTCCAATTTATAGTATTTTGACATAGTTTTTTGACTTTATAATAGAGTGAAGGCAGTACACATTCAGTAGAAACCTTACTTCGAATTTTGAATTTTAAATTTTAATTTTTTCCTCTGGGATACTGATATGTACTATGCCCTGCTGTCATGTTGCTGGCAGTAGCAGTAGGCTGCAGCTCCCAGCCAGCCATGTGATCAGCTGTTACTCTACTGTGTACCGTGTTGCTAAGCTATGCTGTTGGATAGAACAGGTGTTTTGAGTGCATTTTTGGCTTAGGATGTTTGCAGCTTACAATGGGTTTATCAATTGTAACCTCATATTAAGTTGAGGAATATCTAGTATTTCATTTGTTCCCACAGCACAGGAAGTTTGATTTAGGGTAAACAAATGATGCCTTGTAATTTTTTTTTCACTTTTTAAATTATAATTTCTAAAAAGTATTTTTAATTGATACATAGTCACACATATTTATGAAATACAAATTGTTTTGCAGTTTTATCAGTGATTAAATTTTCATATCTTTACATCAGCAATTAAGGTGATTTTACTACCTGATAAGTTATTTTTTAAAAAATTGACAAACTATTCTCTTTTGACAAGACAAACTATAATAATTTCTCTCAGAACTTGAAAATCTCTATTCATAGAAATTTCAAAAAAAAAAAGGCCAACTCAGAGTTTCACCCAAAATGATTGTTTTAATTGTAGAATTATTGTAGAATTCTCTAATGCTCTCATGAGACTGTGATATTTTTACTGATTGTTGACTACTTTCTTTTCCTTACAGATCATGGAGGAGACCTACAAAATGGAGTTCATGTACAGTGGTGTAGAGAATAAGCAGGTGGTGATTATACATCACATGAGGCTGCAGGCCAAGGCTTTGCAGCTTATAGTGACAGCACGGACTACTCGAGGGTAAGATGTGGGGTTGGCAGAAAGTGTGGCATTTTATTGTCAAAGACACTTCTGAATGCATTCAGAGATTTCAGAAATGTTAAATGATAAGAAAAATGAATTTAGGGAACGATTAGCTAAGGGACATGCAATCTATTCATTTTAAAAAGGTTTTCTAAATTCTGTTCTTGAATAAAATTAGTCTTGGAAATCTAATTGTGTCTCTCCCTTGCTAAAACCTACGCTAAGTTGTGTTGCTTGGTAGAGTGGGTGTACGTGACCTCAGCACAGCACAGGACTTCCTCTGGTGATAAGGACATTCTGTTTAGCTCTACTTGATTGGTTTTGTCAAGAATTTAGTTCCAGGAACCTCTTTTTTTTTTAAGATTTATTTATTTGTTTGAAAGGCAGAGTTACACAGAAAGAGAAGGAGAGCAGAGACAGAGAGGTCTTCCATCTGCTAGTTCACTCCTCAGATGGTCGCAATGACTGGAGCTACGCTGATTGAAGCCAGGAGCTTCCTCCGGGTCTCCCACGCAGTTGCAGGAGCCCAAGGACTTGGGCCGTCTTCTACTGCTTTCCCAGGCCGTAGCAGGGAGCTGGATCGGAAGACGAGCAGCCGGGATTAGAACCAGTGCCCATATGGGATGCTGGCGCTTCAGGCCAGGGCATTAACCTGCTGTGCCACAGTGCCGGCCCCATATTTTTATTTTTAAAAATATTTATTTCATATACTTGAAAAGCAGAATGATTGAGGGGGTGTAGGATGAGAGAGCATACTTCAATCTACTCCCCAAATGGCTGGACCAGATGGAGACTAGGGACCTAGAATTCTATCCTGTCACCCATGTGAGTGGCAGGAACCTAAGCACCTGAGCCATCATCTGCTTCCTCCCAGGTACATTAGCAGTGATTTGGATCAAAAGTGAAGGAACTGGGCCTGAAATCAGGCACTCTGATACCGGGTATGTGTTTCTGAAACAGCAGCTTAACCTGCATGGCCACAGTGCCCACCACTATTTATTTTTAAAAATTTTTTTGGGGGCCAGCACTATGGTGCAGTGGGTTAACACCATGGCCTGAAGCACCGGCATCCCATATGGGCACCGGTTCGAGTCCCGGCTACTCCTCTTCCGATCCAGCTCTCTGCTATGGCCTGGGAAAGCAGTTGAAGATGGCCCAAGTGCTCGGGTCCCTGTACCTATGTGGGAGACCTGGAAGAAACTCCTGCCTCCTGGCTTCGGATCTGCTCAGCTCTGGCCGTTGAGACCATTTGGGGAGTGAACCAGTGGATGGAAGACCTTTCTCTCTGTCTTTCCCTCTTCACTATCTGTAACTCTACCTCTCAAATAAATAAAACCTTTACAATTTTTTTCTTTGAAAGCCAGAGACAGATTAGAGAGATCGTCCCTCTGCTGTTTCACTCCCCAAATGCCTGCAATAGCCATGATTGGGCAATGCTGAAGCCAGGAGCCTAGAATTTTGTGTGCATTTCCCACATGGCTGGTATGGACCCAAGTATTTGAGCTATCATCTCCTGCATCTTCAGGTGCAATTTAGCAGGAAGCTAGATCAGAAGCAGAGCTGGAATTCCAGCCAGGCACTCAGATAGGGAATGTGGGCATCCTAAGAACTGTCTTTTAATTGCTGCACTATGACCCTTGTCCCTGAAATGAGATACTCTTAAAATGAGGCTAAGATGCTGGTGTTGATAGTGTAGCAGGTTAAGCCACAGCAGGTTAAGACGGCAGTATCATCCCATTTGAGTGTCGGTTCAAGTCTCAACTACTTTACTTCCCATCCTGCTTCCTGCTAATGTGCCTGGGAAAGCAGCAGAAGACAGCCCAGCCCCTGCCATCCACATGGGAGACCTGGGTGGAATTCTGGACTCCTGGCTTTGGTCTGGCCCAGGTCCAGTCATTGTGGTCGTTTGGGGCATGGACCCGTGGGTAAAAGATTCCTCTCTGACAACTCCACCTATCAAATAATAAATAAATAAATAAATAAATAAATAAAATAAATAAATATTTAAAATAAAATGAGACTTAGAAAGTCAAGATAGAGAGAGGAATATCATCTTTGTGTTGGGAAAATAAGCAACAAAACCTTTTCTCTTTGTGCATGAAAATTTACCTCGGGTCCAGCTTTGTGGCATAATGGGTTAAGTCGTGTATGATACTGGCATTCCACCTGGGTGCCAGTTCAAGCGCTGTCTGCCCCATTTCTTTTTTTTTTTTTTTGACAGGCAGAGTGGACAGTGAGAGAGACAGAGAGAAAGGTCTTCCTTTTTCCCGTTGGTTCACCCCTCAATGGCCCCTGTGGCCGGTGTGCTGCAACCGGCGTACTACACTGATCCGAAGCCAGGAGCCAGGTGCTTCTGGTCTCCCATGCGGGTGCAGGGCCCCAGCACTTGGGCCATCCTCCACTGCCTTCCTGGGCTGCAGCAGAGGGCTGGCCTGAAAGAGGAGCAACCGGGACAGAATCTGGTGCCCCTACCGGGACTAGAACCTGGTGTGCCGGCGCCACAGGCAGAGGATTAGCCTATTGAGCTGCGGTGCCGGTTTGCACCATTTCTGATCCAGCTCTCTGCTAGTGGCCTGGAAAAGTAATGGAAGATGGCCCAAGTCCTTGGGCCCCTGCACTCACGTCGGGGACCTAGATTAAGCTTCTGGCTCTTGGCTTCAGCCTTGCCCAGCTCTGGCCATTGCAGGCATTTGGCAAGGAACCAGCAGATAAAGCTGTCTCTCTTTCCCCCTGTCTGTGTAACTCTGCTTTTCTAATAAATAAAATCTTTTTTTAAAAATAAAGGAAAAAGAAAATTTACCTTTGGTTAACTTTCTTGGTTCGTTCCCTAAAATCCTGTTAGGGTTACCTCTATGAGTAGGCCCCACTGCTACTGGAAAAATGATCTCTGAGTGAATTGCCTCTGAATCAGAAGGAAGTATGAATCTCCGGATGCAGGCACCATAGCTTTGGGCTTCCTTCAGTGCAGTGATTGTTGTAACCGGGCATAACTCTCTTGAGGACCCTGGCAGCTGTGTTTGTAGAGTTGTTTCAAGAGATATTAGCACCCAGCGAGCATGAGGCTCCTGAGCTAGGATGGTCTTCACATCTGCCTAACATAGAGCTCATCTTCTTATACCTGAGCTGTCAGACAACTGTGAGGACCCTTCCAGGACTCCTGCACTTAGGGAACGTGACACTGCACTACTGCCTGCAAGCTTTGCTTCTGGCCTGTGTCCTCGGTGAATCTGCTACCGACTGTGGACGGTGACAGTCTTTGGTTTTGAATGTTTGCGGAGTCTATTGGGCTCTGCATTGGTTTAATCAGGTGTCAGGATCCTGACAGGTACTTGACTCTGGGTCCATGAGGAGCGCTGTGTTTCTCTTTGGGGTCATGTGTGATGTGCCATGTAGGCCCAGGTCCCCAAGACTTCTGGTCTTCACTCCTCACATTGCCCATTTCACAAGCAAGCTACTTATTTCTTTTACATTTCTTTTCTATAGAGTTGACCCCTTATTTGGGATGTGTGAAAAGTTTTTACAAGAAGTGGACTTTTTTCAGAGGTAAGTATTTCCTAACTCTGCTGGTTTACTGTGTCACTTATGCAAGAGAACAACCTAGGCAACAAGAGCAATCGCCAGCTGTGTTCCTGGGTTATGCCGTTCAGCCAATCTCTCATCTGAGGCTCTGTGCCCTAATTTGGTATTTTCTTTAATGGTGTATAAACTTCTTTGAAGTCCGAGTTTCAAAAGTAAACATACAGCTGAATAATAAAAACATCAGCAATCAGTTGTGCTCAGCAGTCAGCTGAGCCATAAAAAGATAAGTATTATGAAGAAAACTTCTACACTCGGTTGGTGAAAAAAATCAGGACTTCTCTGTTTTTTGACCAGTTCTTAAAATTACATACTTCTCCATAAAGAGTTGTTCTGTAATTCTGAAGGTAACTTTTATTATATGGATTAAATATGTTCTCATCGAGTTGTTTTTGAAACAAATCAGTTTAAACCAATGTAGTGGATGAATGGAAAGCTTGGCAGAGAAGTGGGAGTTAAGGTAGTGATCAAACCCATTGTGTGCTGGCAGTATAATACTGCAAGGCATTTATGAGACATTTAAACACTGGATTTAGTCTGATAATTCATTTCTTTTTTTAATCAGAGATAAAAACCTAATTCATTATATAATGTATCTTATCAATTTACATTTTCAAGTATTCAGGTAATGCAGACCCAAATATTTTCTTTTGTGGCAATAGCACACTTATGAATTGAGCTTCAAAGACAAAGAAAAAGTCATATAAAATAACTGATACACTGTTCTGCCCAAAAACATAAGAACTGAGACTTAACACTGGGAGAATTCATTTCTTGAGCCATTGTCCGTACCCTCATGAATTTTACCTCTCCTGATATATTTATGACACTACAAATCTATTCTTTTTTCATTGGGGTGATCTCTTTTTGTAGGGCTAAGTTGCATATACCACCCTTCACCTGTAGGTGATACTCTGTGGCACATTTAAAATCCTGGCTTCTTTTTTTTTTTTTTTTTTTTTTTTTTGACAGGCAGAGTGGACAGTAAGAGAGAGAGAGAGAGAAAGGTCTTCCTTTGCCGTTGGTTCACCCTCCAATGGCTGCTGTGGCCGGTGTGCTGCGGCCAGAGCGCTGCGGGTGGCACACCGAGCTGATCCGAAGCCAGGAGCCAGGTGTTTCTCCTGGTCTCCCATGCGGGTGCAGGGCCCAAGCACTTGGGCCATCCTCCACTGCCTTCCCGGGCCACAGCAGAGAGCTGGCCTGGAAGAGGGGTAACCGGGGCAGAATCCAGTGCCCCCACCAGTACTAGAACCTGGTGTGCAGGCGCCATAGGCGGAGGATTAGCTTATTGAGCCACGGCGCCAACCATAAAATCCTGGCTTCTTAGGTGAAATAAGTTCATGCCTTAGTTTTGATTTTAAAGTCTGTTTTTACATAGTTGGGTTGAAGAGATTTTCAGAATGGTGACAGTTCTTCCGAGTGTCTTGTCTGTTGGTAGCCAGAGCTGCACATCTGTTCTTTTCTTTTAGATTTATTTTATTTGACAGGCAGAATTACAGAGAGGGGAAGAGACAGAGGTCTTCTTTCCATCTGCTGGTTCACTCCCCAAATGGCCATAATGGGCCGATACGAAGCCAGGAGCCAGGAGTTTCTTCCAGGCCTCCCATGTGGTGCAGGGGCCCAAGCATTTAAGCTATCTTCCACTGCATTCCCATGTCGTTAGCAGAGAGCTGGGTCAGAAGAGAAGCAGCCAGGACACAAGCTGGCACTCATGGGATGCCAGCGCTGCAGGCGGAGGCTTAACCTACTACACAACAGCGCCGGCCCCTGCACATTTGTTCTTAATTCAGTCTCTGAGTCTGAATGGATATCACCTCACCAGGGAATTTTCTTTTTTTTTTTTTTAACTGTGCCCTTCCACAAGGCAAAGTGCTGTGGACTCAATCTGAGCTGTAAATAAGTTACTTGACTTTCTGAGTCTCACTACAGCATCATCTCTTGTTTACTGTATGTCGCCAGAAACTCAAACAGTCCTTGGCATTTGATAGGCCCCAAAAACATACCAGCTAAACTAATTATCAAGCCTTTAGCATGAAGATAATTGTATCAGTATACAGGATTTCTATTTAGAGTAAATAAGTTCATGTAAAACACTAGTAACTCACACACAGTGTTTGCTTAATAGTTAGAGGCTCTTACAATGATCACACGTCACTGAGGCATCATGTTTGAGTGCCTGTTTGTCTGGGTCGTGAACTCTGAGCTCTTCCTACTTTATCACTCTTCCTGTGTTGAGGCTGGGCAGTTGTTTGGGGCTCAGCTTCTGGTGAGTGATGCAGTCAGTTCCTTCTGTTTGCTCCCCCAGGTGTTTCATCGCTGACTTACCTCATTTGCAGGACAGCTTTGTAGACAAACTTCTTGATCTTATGCCCCGCCTCATGACATCGAAACCTGCAGAAGTGGTTAAAATTCTACAGAACATGCTCCGACAGAGTACCTTCCTGCACCTCCCCCTTCCAGAACAGGTCAGGGTCTGTTACTCCTTTAAGCCAAATCTGACCAGGTAGTGAAAACTGTTCACCTTAGTGAGCTTCTTGGATCAGTGGAGCAGCTGGGCTAGGGCCCTTCCTCCGATTGGCTCTCTTATGCCCATCCATTGAGCAAAGAGCATGTTTTGTTGCCCAGGGATGACCTGGCTTTGGAATCATTGCATTTTCTCCTGCTTACAGATCCACAAAGCATCAGCCACTATCATTGAGCCAGCGGGTGAGTCAGACAACCCTTTGCGGTTTACATCTGGGTTGGTGGTGGCCTTGGATGTTGATGCAACCCTGGAACATGTGCAGGATCCTCAGAGTACAGTAAAGGTTCAGGTATGCTGGGTTTTGGTCCCTGTGGAGCTTCCTGACTGACCTTGTGTTAAACATTGAACTTAGTGCCCCTGTATTCCCTACCTGAGGGACAGAAACTGGGCAGGGAGAAGAGAGGAGCCTCTGTGGAAAAGAGCCTGGGCTTGACTCCCACCTCTGCTGCTGAATGTGGTCTGGAGCCTGATACTTTAAACCTGAGCATCAGGTTCTGAAACTGACAAATACAAATAGTTGACAATGAAATGAGGTGAAGTATATGAAGCTTCTACTACCCGGGAGTATTTGCTAAATGACAGAGCCCTTTCTCTGCTGACAATGTGAAAGGAAGAATTGGTCTTTTAATACAATAAACTATAATAACTAAGTCCTTTTCAGGTGACAGATGTGTCGGTTAGCAAACAAAACATATGGATGGGCAAAAAGAAGTATTTTTTTTTAATTTTTTTTTTTGACAGGCAGAGTGGACAGTGAGAGAGAGAGACAGAGAGAAAGGTCTTCCTTTTGCCGTTGGTTCACCCTCCAATGGCCGCCGCGGCTGGCGCGCTGCGGCCGGCACACCGCGCTGATCCGATGGCAGGAGCCAGGTACTTATCCTGGTCTCCCATTGGGTGCAGGGCCCAAGGACTTGGGCCATCCTCCACTGCACTCCCTGGCCACAGCAGAGAGCTGGCCTGGAAGAGGGGCAACCGGGACAGAACCCGGCGCCCCGACCGGGACTAGAACCCGGTGTGCCGGCGCCGCAAGGCAGAGGATTAGCCTAGTGAGCCGTGGCGCCGGCCAAAAGGAAGTATTTTTCCTAAGTGAGGTAGATATGAGAGATGTACTAGGGATACTAATCAATTCAGGGAATCTGCAGTTAAGACCCACAGTTTGACCTCAGCCACCTGTCCGTTTGTTCACGTATTCAGTAGTGCTTACTGTGTTAGGCATGCGAAGTGCTGAGGTTCCAAGGTAAAGATATCACTGTTCTTGCTCTCAGGATGCTCACCGTTTCACTGAGAGACAGACAAATGGACAGGCAATTATAAAAGAGAAATTCAGCATGCTGTGGTGGAGGCTGAGGAGGAAAGGTTTTGTGGAAACACGGGTCCAGGGGTGGGATCTGAAAGGAGGAATTAGCACTACGAAGGAGGTGGCAGGAGGCATTCTAGGCAGAAGGGAAATGAGCAGAAGCAGGGCTGCAAGAACTGACAGGCAGGCTGACTGGGGACGGAGCCACAGTCAGCAGCAGGCAGGCTGACTGGGGACGGAGCCACAGCCAGGAGCAGGCAGGCTGACTGGGGATGGAGCCGCAGCCAGGAGCAGGCAGGCTGACTGGGGACGGAGCCGCAGTCAGGAGCAGGCAGGGAAGGTACATTGCAGATCACGAGACCTATGGGGATCTAATTCTGAACTAGTGACAAAATTGGACTGTGGTTTTTTTTTTTTTTTTTTTTTCATATGAGTGGTTCTCTACCCCAGCTGCACTTTAGAACTACTCAGAAAGGGTTAAAAAGTACTGATGAACACACCTCAGCCCACCAATTAAATCAGAATCCTGGGAGTAGGGCCCGAGGGTATCAGTATTGTTTTGAAGATCTCACTGGTGGTTCTGATATGCAGTCAGTGGTTCTAATGAGAATCACTATTTTACAGTGTCCATGAACAAAAGTTCACTGACCAGTTGAGCATAAATGAGATTGCAGGCTGATTATTTTATGTGTCATATGCTAGTCTCACTCCTGAAAAATCCCCTCTGAAGCACTTCCACTACACGTGTGGACAGAATATTTTCATGCTCTACAGATGGGGAGGTGGGAGTGCACTGTCCCATTGTGACAGCTCCAGCAGCTTGGAAGTGCTCCCCAATTTCACCACACACTCTGACTTCCTTCTCTGTTCTAGGCACTGCTGTAGGTGCTAGAGATGTAGCAGGACACAGGCCTCAGAGATTACATGGCGTGATTACTTTCTCTGCTAAAATAATGTCGAGCTGGTTTTTAAGGCAGGCCCTCAGGAACTCCACTCATTGATACCTTTGTTAGTCCAACCCAGGTTCCTGATTATAGCTAATTATAAGATGTGCTGGGAACTTGAGTTGTTCTGAAATTGAAGATACAATTTATAACGGCCATTCCCCTCCACCCCTACTTTTTTTTTTAAGATTTATTTATTTGAAAGGCACAGTGACAGAGAAATATTCCATCTGCTGGGTTACTCCCTCAAATGGCCACAATGGCCAGGGCCAGGACAGGCCAAATCTAGGAGCCTGGAACACAATCTGGGTCTCCCAGATGGGTGGCAGGGGCTCAAGTGACCCATCTTCTGCTGCCCTCCAAGGCGCAGTAGCAGGGAACTGGATCAGAACCAGAGCAGCTGGGACTTGAACCGGAATTCCAGTATGTGTTGCTGACATCACAGGCAGTGGCTTAATCTGCACCACAACACTGGCCCCTTCCCCCTAACCTTGGGCAACAGATTGCTTTTTCCTTCTTTATGTTTTTAACAATTTTGAAAGGCAGAGACAGAGTTGGGGAGCGAGAAAAAGCTATCTTCCACCTACTAGTTCACCCCCCAAATACTTTAAATGCTAGGGCTGGGCCAGGTCAGACCAAAGCCAGGAGCCCGGAATTCAATCCAGGTCTCCCACATGGTGGCAGGGACCCAAGCACTTGAACCATCACTGTTGCCTCCCAGGGTTTGCCATCGCAGAAAGCTGGATTCAGGAGCTAGACCCGGGAATCGAATTCAGGAACTTAGATATGGAATGTGAGCATCTTAGCTGGTAGGCTAACCACCTGCAGCCTCTTACATGCCACTTGGTGATGGATGCTAGGCCGTGATACGATTCAAAGCCAGGATGGAAGAGTCATTCTGACCATTCTTATGGGGGTGCCTGTGAAGAATAGTCACAGTCAGGGTTAATATTCTTACCTGTCCTTGTACTTAATAGAGACAGTGTACTTCTGCCATTCATTTATCAGAAAATCAGGAAACATTTACTGAACACCGCATAGTGTTGGGGCAGCAGGGATCATTGAGATGTCCACAGTGTTGCCATCCCCTTAAGGAGCACACTTTTATGAAGACTAATGTCATCTTTTTGTTCTGGAATTCACAGTAGTTGGCACAGCCCATTTCATTAAAAGCTCATCTACCTTTGGGGACAGCAGTATGTTGTAGCGGGTAAAACTGGCTCCGGCAGTGCCAGCACCCCATATAGTTACTGATTCAAGTCCTAGCTACTCTACTTCTGATCCAGCTCCCTGCTAATGCACCTGCCAAAGCAGCAGAGGATGGGCCAGGTGCTTGGGCCCCTGTGCCTACAAGGGAGCCTTGGGCGAAGCTCTTGACTTTGGATGGGCCTAGTTCTGGCTGTGTTGGCCATTTTGGGGGAGTGAACCAGCAGATGGAAGATAGTCTCTCTGTCTCTTCCTCTCTCTCTCTGTAACTCTGCTTTTCAAACAAATAAACCAATAAATAAACCTTAAAAAGAAAAAAGCTCATCTACCTTCTACTTCTTTTTCTCATTTTTTGCCCTTTTCAGGTCTTATATCCAGATGGCCAGGCTCAGATGATCCACCCTAAGCCAGCAGACTTTCGGAATCCTGGCCCTGGGCGGCACCGTCTCATCACTCAGGTGTACCTCTCCCACACTGCCTGGACAGGTGAGGCATCGATGGGCCAAGGTGGACAGGAAAATAATGTGCCTGAATATCACGCACACTTTGTAGCATTTGGTTTTTGTAGTTTGGAAAAACATAATTGGATCATGCATGCTGAGGATTGAATTTCGTTACTTAACGAGTTTGTAAGCTCCAACTGGGTACATTTAGACTAATGTGCTTTGACTGTAAATAACATGATTCTGTTAGAAGGTGTACATATAGGAAATTAGAGCAGAATCTCAAGGCAAGAGCCCAGGGCTGCTTGCCAGGAGACTCTTTAACTGTGCCACTTACGATGTGACCTTTGTCCAGGTGTAATGGATTCATGTTACTACAGCAAAATACCAGAAAAACTAACTTTACCAGTAAAAAGGTTTATTTGGCTCATAGTTTGGGAGGTTCAAGTCCAAGATGTGTTGGCCTCTGATGCAGGAGGCAATGGTAGGGCATGGAGTATAGATAGAGGACGGATCACACTGAGACAGGAAGCAGAGCAGCTGGGCGCAAGTCAGGCTTTTTGATTTATTTATTTTAATTCATTTATTTTTATTTTATTTGAGAGAGAGAGAGAGAGAGATCTTCGGTTTGCTGGTTCCCTGAACAGATGTCTGCAACAGCCAGAGCTGAGCCAGGGCAAAGCCAAGACCCCAGAAGTCCATCCAGGTGTCTCCTATGTGAAAGACACAGGAACTTGGTTCATCAGTTTGCTTACTAGGGTGCACATTTACAGGAAGCTGGAATTGAAGTGGAGCTGTGACTACAACTCAGGCACTTCATCAGCCTTCTCTAGAACTACCTCCTGAGGGCACACCCCTGGGAACCTAATGACCTCTCACCTTGACCTCATTAATTGGATTAAGTCTCCACTCTCTCCCAGTGGTGCCATCCTGGGGTCCAAGCCTTCAACAACTGGGCCTTTGGAGGACACTGAAACTAGCACCTAAACTGTAGCAGCATTCCTTGAATCTATTTCCTTATCTTCAAACTGAAGATTTTTCTTTTTTTAAGGTTGTGTGTTTAGTTGCACTGAATTAAGGACATCCAAATTCACTGTGTTCCTGGGCTTTGCAGTTGCCCTTAGATTTATGAATGGCTGTCTCCCTTCTCTGTAGAAGCTGTGTGGTTACTAGATTAATTGCTTTGGTTTATAAGGTGGGTTCAAATTCTCTTCCAGCTGTGGATTTGGGCACTTAGTCACTTAGAACCTCCTTGAGCCTCCAGCCATTCTTCAGAAATTGTAACAGGATGGGCATTGCAGCACAGCAGGTGAAGTTGCCAATTGGGAATGCAGCATTCCTTATCAGAGTTCCATTTTGAGTGCCGGATACCCTGCTTTTGATCCAGCTTCCTGCTAATGCATCCTAGGAGGCAAAAAGTGATGGCCTGGCTGGTGCCATGGCTCACTAGGCTAATCCTCCGCCTGCGGTGCCGGCACCCCGGTGTACAACTTTTGAATTATAGCGGCTTTCCTCCCCATAACCTCCCTCCCACCCACAACCATCCCATCTTCCACTCCGTCTCCCATCCCATTTTTCATCAAGATTCATTTTCAATTATCTTTACATACAGATCAACTTAGTATATACTAAGTAAAGATTTCAACAGACTGCACCCACATAGACACACAAAGTATAGAGTACTGTTTGAGTTGTAGTTTTACCATTAATTCACACAGTACAACATATTAAGGACAGAGATCCTACATGGGGAATAGGTGCACAGTAATTCCCGTTGTTGATTTAACAGTTGACACTCTTATTTATGATGTCAGTAATCACCCGAGGCTCTTGTCATGAGCTGCCAAGGCTATGGAAGCCTCTTGAGTTCACCAACTCTGATCTTATTTAGAGAAGGCCATAGTCAAAGTGGAAGTTCTCTCCACCCTTCAGAGTAAGGTACCTCCTCCTCCTCCTTCTTTTTCTTTTTTTTTTTTAATTTATTTGACAGGGTTATAGACAGAGAGACAGAGAAAGTTCTTCCTTCCATTGGTTCACTCCTCAGATGGCTGCTACGGCCGGCGCTGTGCTGTGCCGATCTGAAGCCAGGAGCCAGGTGCTTCTTCCTGGTCTCCCATGCTGGTGCAGGGGCCCAAACACTTGGGCCATCCTCTGCTGCCCTCCCGGGCCACAGCAGAGAGCTGGACTGGAAGAGGAGCAATCGGGACTAGAACCCAGCGCCCATATGGGATGCCAGTGCTGCATGAGGAGGATTAACCAAGTGAGCCATGGCGCTGGCCCAGTACCTCCTTTATTGATGGCCTGTTCTTTCCGCTGAGATCTCACCCAGAGATCTATCTTTCTTTTTTTCTTTTTTTTGCCAGGCAGAGTGGACAGTGAGAGAGAGAGACAGAGAGAAAGGTCTTCCTTTGCTGTTGGTTCACCCTCCAATGGCTGCCGCGGCCGGCGTGCTGCAGCCGGCGCACCGCGCTGATCCAATTGCAGGAGCCAGGAGCCAGGTGCTTTCCCTGGTGCTCTCCCATGGGGTGCAGGGCCCAAGCACCTGGGCCATCCTCCACTGCACTCCCTGGCCACAGCAGAGGGCTGGCCTGGAAGAGGGGCAACCGGGACAGAATCCGGCGCCCCAACCGAGACTAGAACCCGGTGTGCCCGTGCCGCTAGGCGGAGGATTAGCCTAGTGAGCCGCGGTGCCGGCTCACCCAGAGATCTTTCATTTAGGTTTGTGTTTTTTGTGTGTGTGGGTTGGTTGGTTTGTTTGTTTTTGCCACAGTGTCTTGGGCTTTCCATGCCTGTGAAATTCTCATGGGCTTTTTAAGCCGGATCCGAATGCCTTAAGGGCGGATTCTGAGGCCAGAGTGTTGTTTAGGGCATTGGCCATTCTATGAGTCTCTGTGGATCATTCTCTCCTTTATACTTCTATCAATTAATATTTGCAGACACTGGTCTTATTTTTGTAATCCTTTTGATACTTAATCCTATCTTTTTGATCAAATATGAACTTAAACTGATCACTTTAACAATTAAGATGGCATTGGTACATACCACCTATATAAGATTGAATTGGAATCCCCGGGCACGTTTCTAGCTTTACCATTAGGGCTAAGTCCTAGTGAGCGTGTGCCGAACTGTACATCTCTGCCCTCTCTTATTCCCACTCTTATATTTAACAGGGATCACTTTCAGTTAATTTTAAATGCCTAAGAATAATTGTGTGTTAATTAAAGAGTTCAACCAATGGTATTAAGTAGAACAAAAAAATACTAAAAGGAATAAAATAGTAAGTTGTTCCTCGACAGTCTGGACAAGGGCTGACCAAGACATTGTTTCTCATAGTGTCCATTTCACTTCAACAGGTTTCCTTTTAGGTGCTCGGTTGCCACCCATCAGGGAGAACATATGATATTTGTCCCTTTGGGACTGGCTTATTTCACTCACCATGATGTTTTCCAGATTCCTCCATTTTGTTGCAAATGACTGGATTTCATTTTTTTTTTAACTGCTGTATAGAATTCTATAGAGTACATATCCCATAATTTATTTATCCAGTCTTCTGTTGATGAGCATTTAGGTTGATTCCATGTCTTAGCTATTGTGAATTGAGCTGCAAAAAAAATTGAAGTGCAGACCGCTCTTTTATTTGCCAACTTAATTTCCTTTGGGTAAATTCCAAGGAGTGGGATGGCTGGGTTGTATGGTAGGGTTATATTCAAGTTTTTGAGGAATCTCCAAACTGATTTCCATAGTGGCTTTACCAGTTTGCATTCCCACCAACAGTGGGTTATTGTCCCTTTTTCCCCACATCCTCGCCAGTATCTTTTGTTGGTAGATTTCTGAATGTGAGCCATTCTAATCGGGGTCAGGTGAAACCTCATTGTTGTTTTGATTTGCATTTCCTTGATTGCTAGTGATCCTGAACATTTTTTCATGTGTCTGTTGGCCATTTGGATTTCCTCTTTTCAAAAATGTCTATTTAGGTCCTGGCCCATCTCTTAAGTGGGCACAGGGTAGACATTTTTAGCAGAAGTGTTTGCTGACTGACAACTTCTTGTCCACTAAGATAAGGTCTGTGCTGCACACAGCCCCGAGGCCCGAGAGTGGACAGCACAGGAAGAGTGTGCTTCTCTGGTAGAAGAGGGGGCCACCTGTATCTTTGTGACTCCTTGTCCTGAGGCTGGCAGGCCTTGGCAGAAGACCATTTTTTAAAAAGCTCTCGGCCGGCGCCGCGGCTCACTAGGCTAATCCTCCACCTTGCCGCGCCGGCACACCGGGTTCTAGTCCTGGTTGGGGCGCCAGATTCTGTCCTGGTTGCCCCTCTTCCAGGCCAGCTCTCTGCTGTGGCCCGGGAGTGCAGTGGAGGATGGCCCAAGTGCTTGGGCCCTGCACCCCATGGGAGACCAGGAGAAGCACCTGGCTCCTGCCATCGGATCAGCGCGGTGCGCCGGCCACGGTGGCCATTGGAGGGTGAACCAACGGCAAAGGAAGACCTTTCTCTCTCTCTCTCACTGTCCACTCTGCCTGTCAAATAAAAAAAAAAATAAAAATAAAAAGCTCTCAACTACAGGGAACCCAGAGAGGCCTGGGCAGGGGGCAGCTAAGAAACATCACCTTTGTAGCCTCACAGGATTCAGGCTGGGAAAGTGTTTTTTTGTTTTGTTTTTGTTTGGTGAGGGTGAAGGGAGGGATGGAGGCAGATGAAGAAATGTTCTGGAAACCCTTCTGCTTCTAACTCTGATGCTGCTTTTATGTGACCGTTCTCTACACCCTGGCAGTTATGCACACTGTAGAGGATTTCTTTCTTCCTTCCAGAGCCATGCCAGGTGGAAGTAAGGCTGCTCTTGGCCTACAACTCCAGTGCTCGCATCCCGAAGTCACCCTGGATGGAGGGTGGTGAAATGGCCCCCCAGTTGGAAACCAGCATCGAGGGCACCATCCCCTTCAGCAAGCCTGTGAAAGTGTACATCATGCCCAAGCCTGCTAGGCGCTGAGGCCCACGCAGCCCGCACTGCCACGGCCCACAGGCCCTTCTTCGGGCTCATAGGGAGCCAGAACCTGGAGCACTTCACCTGGAAATGGTGTGTAGGCATAAGATTATGCAGCCTTTTCTGTCTCATCTGGTATCAAAACAAGATAAATTATTTTGAATTAAAAATCCAAAATATTCATCTGTGTTTTTTTCCTGCTCATAAAATAAAGTGAGGAAACACCAAGCTATTCTAGTTGCTGCTCCTTGAGGAAACTCATGTAAGTTCTGCATTTGTACCACATGCTTACATGCTTGTGCCTCAGGTGGGAGGCACAAAGATCCAGTTTCTCAGCCACCTTCAAAGAACTGGTTATTTGAGCCACGGTTCATTTCTTAAAGTGACAGCCTATTAAAGTGAGGGCCAATTCTACAGCAGCGTTAACAGCTGTCCTTTTTCACCATGACAGTTTCTGAAGGGCCTTAGATGTCCCTTATCTTGCTAAGAGGCCTCTTCCCTAACTCGGGCAATAGCTAGGCCAAAGACTGAATAGGAAGAGAATGAATCATTTTCATCCCTGAGGGAAATTCTTGATCTTGCCTGCTTATCCTTAGAACCTCTGTGGCTTTAAAATAATAATAGAGAAGAGCCCTATTTCAGAAAAGAAATCAGCATTACGGGAAAGAAGGATACACTGTAAGAAATAAGGTCATTTCTCCCAGATCTTGTAGGAACTGGAGCTGCATCTGAGTTGTAGGTACAGATAAGATGTAGAAACAGTAATCCAGAGAGCTCAACTCTGTTAGGGCTTGTGATGTCTTCTTTACCTTTACAAGTGTTTGTTTATTTGAAAGGAAGAGTGACACAGAGAGAGGGAAAGACAGAGATCTATCCACTGGCTCTCTCCCCAAATGTCCACAACATGCAGGGCTGGGTCAGGCCAAAGCCAGGAGCACTTGGACTATTGTTTGCTGTGTCCCAGGCAAGAGCAGGAAATTAGATCAGAAGTGGGGTACCTGGGACTCAAACCAGCACTCCAATAAAGGGATGCAGGTGTCCCTAGCAGTGGCTTAACCGGCAACGCCACAACACCTGCCCCATTACCTGTCATTTAATCCTCACAATAGCCACAGGAGGCTTAGTGTTTATCACTGGTGGGAAAACTAGGAAATTGTAAAGCCTGTATTCATTCAGACGAAGACTCCAAGTGCCCAAGTTGTGCTGCCTGTGGGGAAGCATGTGGAGGTTTGGGTTTGAGTGTGCCCCTAAGTTTGTGTATTGGAATCTTAACCACCAGTGTACTGGTGTTGAGAGGTGGGGCCCCGCCAGAGGGCATTGTTCCTGAGGGCTCTGCTCACATGAGTGAATTTACGTCACTGCCTGGGGATATTTACTGTGAAGGCAGGTTGTAAAAGCAAGTTGGCCTCTTGTACCCTCATTCTTGCCCTCTCTAGTCTGCCCATCTTCTGCCATGTGATTGCACAGCACGAAGGTTCTTGCCAGATGCCAGCTCCACGTTTTTGGACTTTCCAGCCTCCAGAAATGTGAGCCAAATAAGTTTCTATTCACTATAAATTATCCCGCTTTGAGTATTGTGTAATAGCAGCAGAAAACAAATTAAGACAAAGGGAACCAGCCTTCAGATGTTTAGCTCTCTGTGTCCGTTTCCTCATTATAAAACAGATAATTGTATCTCAAGGGTTGCTGAATGGGATGGAGTAAAAACTGCTTGGTGATTCTGAATCTGCAGCCAGTCTTGATCGTATTTGTTACTTGGAGAGCTTATATAAATAACAGCAATGTTATATTATTATTCAGAATTGAGGTTGGAATTTACATTTAGACATGTTTTGACTTTTGGTTTAATGTGTTTATTGCTTTGCCTGGCAGTGCAGCCTTTCATATGAATTAACTGAATTAACCCTCACAACTGTCATATGAAGTGGGCATTGTTATCATATCATAAACAAAGCCATTGAAGTTGAGAGAAATGAAGTAACTTGCCCCAGATCAGAGACTAATGACAGATCTGGGATTTTAATCCACGGGGCCTGGCTCCAGGAGGTCCTAGCTGCTATAGAGAATCAAGGAAGATCATCTCCAGGTTGCTGCCTTATCTAGCGTGCTCACCTGCTTTATACCTCTCAGAGATGTGGCTTCAGTGGGCTCTCATGTGTCAGTGAGATGCCCTGGAAAAGGTGCCTGCCCTTTTAAAGCTTGATTGAAGCCAGGCTGAATCACACCGTGGCTGTGACACGAATACGGCGTGGTGATCGCTGGTTTGCAGCATCACTGAAAACATTACAACCCTTAGCTGATAACACGCTGTGACCACAGACCCTTCAAATGGGAGAATATGCTGACTATTCTACACATATGGTGCACCCTTTTTATAAAAATCCTTTCAGGTTATCCCCGTTTGTTGGTGGGGAAATGGCATCTGAAGTAATGTCTGTCTCCTATGGGAAAAGCTGGGAACTGATCCTGTCTTAAAGTGTGGTTTGTTTTCCACCAATGATCGACACAGCCCTGAGGGACAGATTTTAACTTCCTAACAGAATCAATTTCTTTTTCCTTTTAATTTGAGGCAGAGAGGTGGGGAAGGGAATAGAGAGAATTCTCATCTGGTTCACTCCCCTAGCCAAAGCCAGGGCCTGGGAACTCAATCCAAGTTTCAAGTGGAATCTTAATCTCTGTGCTAAACATGGTCCATTCTTCACACGCTATCAGTAATTTCTCTAAAACCCAGATTTGCTCATGCCATTCCCCTGCGGAAGTCAGTTTACATGGATCAGCAGTAGTCCTGGGATAAAGTCTACATGCCCGTCCTTGAAGGTTCTTCATGTCCTGCTTATCTCCAGCGTTACCCTTCCTGTCCCAGACCATCCCTGTACCACTGCAGCCGAACAGAGTCACCTGTAGTTCTTCCCAGAGCTCCCAATGTTCTCTCACCTCTCGGCCTGTGATGTGCTAAGCCTGGGAATGTGCTCTTCACACTGTCTCCACACTTCACACTGTGGTTCCTTTCCTCGTTCTTCAGGACTGAGCCTCATTCTAGATCCTATCTGTATTTCCCGTGGGCTTGGAACATGGTCTGTAGAGTCCCACAGCCTCCCATCCACTGTATGAGGATATTTTTCATTGCGCTGCAGGCTGACAAACACAAATCCCTAAGGAAGTTAGGCAGGAAAGCAAAGGAATGAAGTAGCTTAGAGGAAGATAACAGACTGAACCATCAGAGATCACACTCTGTCAGAAGGCAGCTGCTGTTCATTCCACTTCATTTTAATTTGTACATGGTGTTTCCCCATCTTCCAATTTTTAATAAATGTTTATTTATCTGAAGGGTAGTGCCAGGGCTAGGACAGGCTGAAGCCACAGGCCTGGGACTCCAGCTGAGTCTCCCACACAGGTGGACTTGAATACTGAGCCAGCATCTGCTGCCTCCCAGGAGGTACATTAGCAGGAAGGTGGATCAGATGTGGAGCAGCTGGGACTCAAACTGGTGCTCTAATATGGGCTGTGGGTGTCCCAGGCAGCAGATTAATTGCTGTACCACAACATGTGTCCATATACAATTTAATAACCTCACTGCCAGATTCTTCTATGAAGTTTGTACCAATTTCTCTTTAATGTGGAGACAGCTCATATAGGAACAATGATTACACCTACACCTGATTCAACACCATTCAGCACCCACCTACATTATCTCACCTTGCCTTTGTCCAAAAAAAATTGCATCCATAGGGAAATAATTTAATTTCATCAAACATCCCTCCTAGGTATATAAGGGCTGCCTTTGTAAGCTGAGAGAACAGATCCAGAAAAATCATGTCATCTGACAAATGTAGAAAGCTGCAGCAAGGGCACTAAGCGGGACCTCCCCATATTTCAGTTCTGTGTGTCAGGTCTATGAGAATCATTCCCATGGGCCTCCAGGGAGAAAAGTTACATGCAAGAGATTAAGATGTAGTGTTGGGTTCTAATCCTGGCTCTGCCAGTAACTCGGTGGATGAGCTTGGAAAAAATCCCTTCACTTCCCATTTTGATTTTTTTTTATATGTGCTTATTTCAAACACAGTGACACAAAGAGTGAGAAACAGAGATCACCCATCTGCTGGTTCGCTCCCCAAATGGCTGCAAAAGCCTAGTCTGGGCCAAGCCCAAGTCAGGAGCCAGGAACTGTATCTGGGTTTCCCACATGGGTGGCAAGGCTCAAGCACTTGGGCCATCTTCTGCTATCTTCCAAGACACATTAGCGGGGAGCTGGATTGGAAGTGAAGCAGCTGGCACTTGAACTGATACTGTAATATGGGATATTGGAGTTGGAAGCAGCAGCTTAACCTGCTGCCCAACGCTGGTCCTGTTGTGAGTGTTTTAGGTTATCTTTTCTTGCCAAGCCACATCTTAAATGGCTGTGCAGCCTATAGGTTGGTTCCCAGTTAGATGCTTACTTGAACCAATGAGGTGGCGGGATCGTATGGAGTAAAAAGGAGCTTTTCAGGGCTTCTACTTTGACATCAACTGGAATGGAATAATTTTATTTAGTCATAGCTGTGATAAATACCTCACATAGTAAATATCTAGTTAAGAGCCACCAAGTAAATGTTTGTTAAGGGAATTCATGAACATTTCATTATTTAAGACTTGGCTTGTCCTCTCTTTGTGATGTCTTCCCTAATTTTCCCTCCATTCTGGTAAAGTAAATCAGTCTATTTTTTGTGCCACCACCGTACCTTTTAATTATTATAATTTAAAAAAATTTTTCTTTTTTATTTTTACCTAGAAATCTTTTATTTAAGGTATACAAACTTTATGCATTTCATATATACAAATTTAGGAACATAGTGATTCTTCCCACCTGACCCTCCCTCCCACCAGCACTCCCACACTTTTTCCTTCTTCCCCTCCTATTCCCATTCTAATATTTTACAAAGATCTATTTTCAATTAACTTTATACTCGTAAGATTAACCCTACACTATGTGTAACAGTTCAACAAATAGTATGGAAAAAAAAAAAAAAAAAGCCTGTTCCTCTACTGCTGAGACAAGGGCTGTTCAGAATCATCGCATCTTATCCGTCTCAGTATGTCAGTTCCACTTCTGTAGATTACCTTTTAGGTACTCTGTTCCCAGAGGTCAGGGAGAACATATGGTATTTGTCTGTTGGGGAAACTGCTGTAATATTAACACATTTTATCACTAGTATGTGCTTTCTGTCTTTCTCCCAAAAAGCTCATTTGAGGATAGGAATTGTAACATCTCTCTGTACCCCCAAGATCCAGCAATAACTGGTCATAAGAATTAGTAATAGATTCTCAATAAATGGGCATGAAGGGGGATTACTGAATGCATGAGTCAGAGAGTATCTGTGGGCCCCAACATTCTATGAAATAATAATCTTTAATATGAATCATAAAATTAAACTAGTTGCTTTATACAGTAACTCCATTAATAGAAAGAAAATGCCAACAATGGTCTCACTTTATTGGGTCCTTCCTACCTGCCAGGCAACAGGTGCAAACTTTGTGTGAATTACTTCATGTAACACCCACAGAGACTCCAGGTCCTCATATCCCTGCCCAGCAGATGAGAACAGTGAAACTGAGATCAAATCGATGCCCGACCAGTGAATGGCAGAGGCTGCAGTTCACAGTCAAGAGGATTTGACACCAAAGCCTATACACATAGCCCTTTTCAGAGGAGAAAAGAAAAAGTAAGATGATGCAGATAACTTCTGTTCAGTTAGTCTATTCTAAGGCTTCACAGAGGCCAGGTGGGTATTTGACAGAACAAAGTCCAGGCCAGGAGGGCCCTTTAAAAGGCCTAGTCCAGCCCCAGTACTTTCTAGTCAGGGAAGGTGAGGCCTAGAGAGAACCATCTGGCCCACATCACAGGTCAGAACAGCCCGTCTCAACGCCACCCTCAAGGCATGCTCCTGTTCCCCTCCCTCAAGAGCTCCCTCTTGGCATTCGGGACCTTCCCTGACCACATGCTTGAAACAGCCTCATCAGTCTTCGCCTATCCTGCTTATTTTGCTTCAGAATTGATTCTACATACATTATGTATTTATTTGTATACTTACTTTCCCCACTAGAATATGAGCCTCTTGTTAACACTATTTTTGCTGTTTCTTAGGAGCCCACACAGTGGCCGGCATATGAGCTACTCCGGAAGTATTAGTTGGGCCAGCATTGTGGTGAAGTGGGTTAAGCTGTGTTTGTGATGCCAGCATCCCGTACTGGAGTGCCAGATCAAAGGCTGACTATCTGCTTCTGATAAGGCTTCCAGCTAATGGCCTGGGAAGGTAGTGGAAGATGGCCCATGTATTTGGGTCCTGCCATTCATGTGGAAGACCTGGATGGAGTTCCAGGCTTCTGGCTTGGGCCTGGCCTAGACTTGGCTGTTATAGCTATTTGGGGACTGAACCAGCACATAAAATATCTCTCTTTCTCTGCCTTTCAAGTAAATAAATAAATAAATCTTTAAAAAATATGTATTAGTTACATTGATGGATAAATATTCCAAAGTACCAATTGCAATGTGATTTTCTTTTTATTAAGGATTTATGTTTTTGAAAGTCTGAGAGCTTGAGAGAAAGATCTTCCATCTGTTGTTCACCCCCCAGATGGCCACAAAAGCTTGGGCTGGGCCAGGCTGAAGCCAGGGGCCAGGAGCTTCTTCTGAGTCTCCTATGTGGGTGCAGGAGCCCAAAGACTTGGGCCATTGTCCTCTGCTTTTCTCAGGTGCATTAGCAGGGAGCCAGATCAGATGGAGCAGCCAGGACTTGAACCAGCACCCATATGGAATGCTGGCATTGTAGGCAGTGGACTTATCTGATATGCAATGTGATTTTAGTGCACACACTTTTCTTTGTCTTTCAAGGCACTGGCTTTATTTTTGTCTGAAGGTTTCCATATATCCAATCCAACCCTTAGTACATGGTAAAACTTGATCTGACTTAAGCATGTGTTTAAACATGCCTGGAGGAGAATGGTGAGGGTGACACAGGCATCACTGCCTCGTGATTTATTACTCTCTTAGGGTTCCATCAGCAGGTGGAATGAAAGACACCTCCCACTCTGACCCCTTGGGCGACCAGGCCATTGTACTCCTTCACTGCCTGCTCTGTCTGGAGGACCCGCACATCAATGCCTTGCTTCTTGAGGTACTCTACAGTTGATGGAGGCACCTGGGAAGGAGGAAAAGAGAGGAGTAAGTAAGAGGAGAGGCCCCTCCAGGGCTTCCTTTCCTGCCATGTGGCAAGTGCAACCCACAGAATGTCACAGCAGCATGTTATTCCTCGGTCACTCAGCAAATCACCAGTACAAAATTCGGCAGTGAGCCCCAATGAGTCAAAAAGGTCTCTGAGAAGTTCACAGAAGTATCAGAATACCCATGCCTGAAGGTCAAGCGAGATGGAAAACGCATGGATTTGCGAGCCAGCCTTGGCTCTAAGTCCTTACCTGGCAGTGTAATCTGAGGTAAGTGAATTAAATTCTCTGAGCATTTGTTTCCACGTCTGCAAGTTAGGAATAATACCGCCCAGTGCACAGAGTTTCGATGAGAACCAACTGAGGCTATTGATGTAAAATGTTTAGCATGCTAAAGAACCCACACTAAACTTAGAAAAGTTTGAGTTGGAATGACCTGAATCTAAATACTAACTTTGTTATATACCACCTACAAGACCTTTGCCTGGCCATATAAAGTGAATTGGCCTCAGTTTCCCCTGCAGTAAAACAGGGATCACAGTGTTTGTGTGACGATGGATTAATATATACACTGCAGCTCCAACATCTTCCCGGAGAGGCTTGCCTTTGCCACCCGCAAGCAGCCCCACCTAAGTCACTGCTTTCGTCAGCGTTTGTTATCTGAAATTATCTAGTTTTCTCAATTGTCCATGAGGGGCATGGACCTTGTTTATCTTACTTAGCTCGTTTTCTCCAGTGCCTGGAAGAGTGTCTTCCTGGTAGGAAGTGCTTGATAGGTATTTGTGAATGAAACAGTGACAATCGTTATTGGATATTTTCTCAACTCTGGCTTGTCCTGCATATATTTTTAAAATAGATTTTAACTAGACTCTGAAAGAACTCTGAAAAAATTTTGTAATATGCTTTATAATACCTTTTTATATGCATGGAAGATTTATAACAAGTCTTTCTCTTTCATTTAAAAATTATTTTTGAGATAACATATTTTAATAAATATTTATTTTGAGATAACATATTTTAACAAAGAGTTCAACAAATAAAAAGTAAAAAGACCATAGTCCAACAGGAAAATAGGCATGGGCTGCACACAGTCATCAAAGGGAAAAACATTCAACTTCACTCATATAAAGCAAATCTTAAAATAGTCACCAAATCATGAAGAGTACAGCAGTGTATAATTCCTATCAACCATGAAAGTCTTAAAGACAGGAATTACTGTCATGGGGGAAAAACTGATGTAAATTAAGAAAATATAAATAAATAAAGAGCACTTTCCTCAGGGAACAGAATCATATATATATAAAGCAAAGAAAGAGGCACACCTCTGTAAAGTTATGTGCAAGGCAGTCCATGATATAATAATTTAACTGGGGACAAAAGGGAAGGATACATAAGTGTAATGCTGTTTATATAAATGGTTACAAGTGTACATCAATTGTACACATCTGTATTTATATATATAAGTGTGCCTATAATTGCAGATGTGAACAGAGACCACTAGAGCAGTATATATCAAATGGGGATGCTGGCGAGGGGATATCTTTCACCTTTGAACTTTTCTATTTCTGCACTGAATCTTATTTTACAATGAACATGTGTTGTTTCTTTAAGTAAAATTTAAAAAATATTTTGTTCTGAAGGGAGAGAAAAGCATAACTTGGATGTGTTTAAGAGAAGAAAAAGAACTGAAATATACCACAAAAATGTAAAATAGTATTAAAATCTAAAGAACTACCACATACAGTGCATTTTACAACATCATCTCACTTAACAATGTGCCTCCTAGATGAGGGTGGTCCCATAAGGTAGTATGACCTAGTGATGTTGTAGTATTTCACTTGGTGTAAGTACACTCTATGAAGTTCACACAAGGGTGCTGCATTTCTCAGACTGTGTGTTTGTACAATGGTGCCATCTTATCTCGGGTACCATCTCAAGCCCTGGATGCCATCTTAGGCTCTGGCCCTGTTGCCATCTTGTACAATAATTTTCCTTCCTAAGCCCGGCCTGGCTTACTAGAAGCCAGGTGACCAGATGGCCCAACCACAAGCGTCAGCGCCACCCCCACCCTGTATGTAAGACCTCTTCTAGCACAGGCTGCTGTTCTCTCGTGTATGGGGAGGCAGCCTGTCGGTTACCCCAGCCCCCAATAAACCTTTTCCCCTACTTTGGTGTTCGGTATATTTTGTGGTGGCCTTTCACTGTGTCCTCTTGTTAAAAAACACATGGCTGTTTTTATAACTGTAGATCTTGAGGAATTATGGGGTTGAGGCATTTCTGAGAAACAGTGGAAAGAACACAGTCTCAAGGTTAACACTCTGATGAGGCAGAGTAGTATGTGCAACCAATACCAGCCTGCATCTCAGCACAGAGTGCACAGTACGTAGAGATGAACTTCAAAGAAGGAGCTATCTGCAGAGACAGACATCCAGGGGGTCACCCCTGCCCTCGGGAAGTCTGTACACACCAATACATACCTTCAAGGCCTCACTCATGCCTCGGCCAATCACAAGTGTCTGTACACCCTTCTCGACAACCTCCTTTACATCTGCAGGCTGCACGCCAGGAGAATGCTGGATGCGGAAAGAGAAAGTAGACAGGTACCTGCTTTCAGTCTTTCTTTTCAATAGGCATTCTTGTGAAATCCATTCATCTAAGAAATGGTTTACTGAGGTTTAATCTGTGCCAAGCATCATTCTGGGCCCTGGTAATAACAGAAGATATAGTGCTGCCCTTAAAGAGTTCCAAGGTAGTGAAAAATATGGGCCGGCACCGCGGCTCACTAGGCTAATCCTCCACCTTGCGGCACCGGCACACCGGGTTCTAGTCCCGGTCAGGGTGCCGGATTCTGTCCCGGTTGCCCCTCTTCCAGGCCAGCTCTCTGCTGTGGCCCGGGAGTGCAGTGGAGGATGGCCCAAGTGCTTGGGCCCTGCACCCCATGGGAGACCAGGAGAAGTACCTGGCTCCTGCCATCGGATCAGCGCGGTGCGCCGGCCGCAGCGTGCCAGCCGCGGCGGCCATTGGAGGGTGAACCAACGGCAAAAGGAAGACCTTTCTCTCTGTCTCTCTCTCTCACTGTCCACTCTGCCTGTCAAAAAATAAAAAAAATTAAAAAATAAGCTTAAAAAAAAGGAAAGAAAAATATGGACGACTAAAGAGAAATGTCAATAGTTTTACAAGTGCTACAAATAAGTAAGTTCAGGATATTGTAAGGGCAAAATGGCACCTAAATGATATATGGCAGGCTAGGGAGGTGATCAGAGAAGGCATCCCAGAGGTGGTAACACTTAGACATAAAGAACAGACAAGAACTAACTGATTGGCACCAGCGCTGTGGCATGGGGTTGGGCCTCCACCTGAGAGGCTGATGTCCCATATGGGTGCCGTTTCACATTCTGGCTGCTCTATTTCCAATCTAGCTGTCTGCTAATGGCTTGGGAAAGCAGTGGAGGATGGCCCAACATAAGAGACCCAGAAGAAGCTCCTGGCTCCTGGCTTTGGATCAGCCCAGATCCAGCTGCTGTAGCCATCTGGGGAGTGAACCAGTGGATGAAAAACCTCTCTCTAACTCTGCCTCTGAAATAAATAAGGACTTACTGGTCAGGGAACAGCAGGCACAAAGCAAAGGCAAGGCCTTGGAAACTGCAGGTCAAAGTGACTCAGCTATAAAGTGATAAGTGTGGTGGGAAAAGAAAGCACTGTGTATCATGTTATACTTTAGAAAGATTTTACAAGAATCTCCATATTGTTTCCTTTGCCTCTTAACTTTAGGAAACTTCTATTTACGCTTTAAAACATGGAAACAGTCTTCCAGGCTTATTTAAGGTAAAGTATTTACCAAAGATGAATCCAACATTCAAGCATGGAGGCCTCTGAACTACTCTGAATTGGCAAAGGAGATGTGGGAGTCAGAGGTTGGTAAATATCAGCCCAACATTACTGGGCTTTACCTGGTAGGTATCTCAACAAGGACGATGACCTCAGCACTGAAGCTCGGAGACACAAAGCAGTGCTTCCTTTGTCCATAAACCTCTGTTCTTTCATTCAACAAACCTTATAGTGACTTAATCTGTGCGAGTCTTAGAGTAGGCACTAGAAATACTGAGAAGAAACCAATAATCCTTCCAAGTGGCCACAACAGCCAGGTCTTGGCCAGGCCAAAGCCAGGATCCAAGAACTCCATCCTGGTCTCCCACATAAGTAGCAGGGACCCAAGTACTTGAGCCATCTTCCAGTGCCTTCCAAGGCACATCATTAAGAAGCTAGATTGGAAGCAGAGTAGCTGAAACTCAAACTGGCACTCTGATACGGAATGCCAGTGTCATAAGTGGCAGCTCAATCCACTGAGTCATAATGTGCTCGCGATCGCTGGCTCTCTGACACACACACACACACACACACACACACACACACACACACACAGAGTCAACAGGTCCAGAGGCGACAGTATATTTAAAAAATACTTCATTAGGGGGCGGCACTGTGGTGTAGTAGGTTAAGTCTCCACCTGTAGTGTCTGCATCCCATATGGGTGCTGGTTTGTGTCCCAGCTGCTTGATCCAGCTCTCTGCTATGGCCTGGGAAAGCAGCAAAAGATGGCCCAAGTGCTTGGACCCATGCCTCCATGTGGGAGACCCAGAAGAAACTCCTGGCTCCTAGCTTTGGATCATCCTACCTCTGGCCATTTAGGGAGTGAACCAGCGGATGGAAGACCTTTCCCTATCTCTCCCTCTCTCTGTGGCTCTGCCTCTCAAGTAAATAAATAAATAAATCTTTTTTAAAATTTTTATTTATTTATTTTTTATTTATTTATTTTTTTGACAGGCAGAGTGGACAGTGAGAGAGAGAGACAGAGAGAAAGGTCTTCCTTTTGCCGTTGGTTCACCCTCCAATGGCTGCCGCGGCCGGCGCACCGCGCTGATCCGATGGCAGGAGCCAGGTACTTCTCCTGGTCTCCCATGGGGTGCAGGGCCCAAGCACTTGGGCCATCCTCCACTGCACTCCTGGGCCACAGCAGAGAGCTGGCCTGGAAGAGGGGCAGCTGGGACAGAATCCGGCGCCCCGACCGGGACTAGAACCCGGTGTGCCGGCGCCGCAAGGCGGAGGATTAGCCTAGTGAGCCGCGACGCTGGCCTTAAATAAATAAATCTTAAAAACAAAAACAAAAAGCAAAAACACTTGATTGGGGCCGGTGCCATGGCTCATTAGGTTAATCCTCTACCTGCGATGCCAGCATCCCATGTGGGCTCTGGTTCTAGTCCCGGTAGCTCCTCTTCCAGTCCAGCTCTAAGCTGTGGTCTGGCAAAGCAGTAGAGGATGGCCCCAGTGCCTGGGCCCCTGCACCAGCATGGGAGACCAGCAAGAAGCACTAGGCTCCTGGTTTCAGATTAGCGCAGCTCCAGCCTTTACGGCCATTTGGGGAGTGAACCAATGGAAGGAGGACCTTTCTCTCTGTCTCTCTGACTCTGTCTCTCTCTCTCTCTCACTGTCTGTAACTCTACCTGTCAAATAAATAAATAAAAAACCTTAAAAAATACTCAATAAAAAGGCAAGAACAAAGAACACAGGTAAACACAGAAAGCAAATAGCAAGATGAAACATTTAAACCTCAAATATTGTCAGACTATATGAAAAAGTAAGATCCAACTAAATGCTGTTTAAAAGGTATGCACTTTAAATATAAAAACACAGACTGAGAGTAAAATGATGAAAAATATTTAAAATACCAGCACTAAACTTAAGAAAGCTAATGTGGTTATATTAATATCACATGAAGATGGGGAGTATTACTATAGTTAAGAATGTCATTTTGTGATTCTGAAAGGTTTCATTCATTAAGAACAATTCAAAATTCAAATTTGTACACTTTTAACAATAGACTACAAAATATGTGAAGACAGAAATATTATAACTAAAGGGACAAAATCATAACCATAGTTGGAGATTTTAATAGTCATCACTTAGTAATTGATGGAATACTGAGAATACACAAAATCACCAAGAATAATTGATTTGAATTAATACACGTTTTTAGGCTGTCCATCCTAACAATGGCAGCATATATTTTATCAAGTGCACATGGAATATTCACTATGACTATATGCTAGGACATAAAATAGGACTCAATACATTTCAAAGAAGTAAAATAATAAAGAATATGTTATATGACATTATGGATTTAAATTAGAAATTATTAGCAACAAGATAAGTAGAAAAGCTACAAATAATTGGTAATTGAGCAAAATAAATTATTTTTTAAATAAAGGATTAAGTAAAATACATCAAAATTATGGGACATGGCTAAATAATACTTAAAGAGACAAGTATACCTTTACAGCAGAAATAGATCTAAAATTAATGGTTTATGCTTCTTTTTTCAAAAGCTAGAAAACAAAAAGCAAAATAATATCTCTTTTTTTATTTTTTGACAGGTAGAGTGGACAGTGAGAGAGAGAGAGACAGAGAGAAAGGTCTTCCTTTGCCGTTGGTTCACCCTCCAATGGCCGCTGCGGCCGACGTGCTGCGGCCGGCACACCGCGCTGATCCGAAGGCAGGAGCCAGGTGCTTCTCCTGGTCTCCCATGGGGTACAGGGCTCAAGTACTTGGGCCATCCTCCACTGCCTTCCGGGGCCACAGCAGAGAGCTGGCCTGGAAGAGGGGCAACCGGGACAGAATCCGGCACCCCGAACGGGATTAGAACCCGGTGCGCCGGTGCCACAAGGCGGAGGATTAGCCTAGTGAGCCGCGGCGCTGGCTGCAAAATAATATCTCTAAAGAAAACATGAGAAAATAAACAATCAAGTAAGAAAATCAACAAAGCTAAAAGTTGTTTCTTTGAAACTGAATAGTTCTATATCTGTGAAAAACTGAATTTATAACAAAACCTTTCTATTGGAAAAAAGCTAGGGTCTGGTGCTGTGGCACAGTGGGCTAACGCCCTGGCCTGAAATGCCAGCATCCCATATGGGCGCTGGTTCTAGCCTCGGCTGCTCCAGCTGCTCCTCTTTAAATCCAGCTCTCTACCATGGCCTGGGAAAGCAGTAGAAGATGGCCCAGGTCCTTGGGCCCCTGCACCCACGTGGGAGACCCGGAAGAAGCTCCTGGCTTTGGAAAGGCCCAGCTCCAGCCATCGTGGCCAATTGGGGAGTGAACCATAGGATTGAAGATCTCTCTCTCTCTGCCTCTCCTCTCTCTAACTCTTTCAAATAAATAAATAAATCTTAAAAAAAAAAAAAGAAAGAAAAAAGCTAGTCTAGGCACGCATTGATTTCATTGGTGAATTATTAAACATTTAGTGAAAATATTCAATAAAATATTTTGAAATCCAAGACTGGTTCAGTATTCAAAAATTATTATTGTTCATCTAGAATAAAGACATTTCATTTGATTTAGAAAAACCATTTGATGGCCGCGCCAAGGCTCACTAGGCTAATCCTCCACCTTGGGGCAGCCGGCACACCGGGTTCTAGTCCCGGTCGGGGTGCCGGATTCTGTCCCGGTTGCCCCTCTTCCAGGCCAGCTCTCTGCTGTGGCCAGGGAGTGCAGTGGAGGATGGCCCAAGTGCTTGGGCCCT